TCATCGGGTTAATTTTTTTAAATACATCGCTGCTATTTATATCCAACAATTTTTTACTATTATTAGCAATACTAATTAGAAATAATAAAATATTTCATAAATTCGCATTATTCTTTTATTAGGTACAACTTTTTAAACTATGGATTAAAAAAATTGTTGGATATTTTGTGCTTTTATTGACTTTTATTCTCTCCTCTCCTTTTCTCCTCCAATAGATACAGGTATTTTGAGCGTTCAGAGCCGTACTCTGGAAAATGTTTTAATGATAGCTAAAAACCTTTTTAAGCGATTACAATAGTAATATCATCTAATACAGAATTAAAAATGACTAGATTTTGTCATAAAAATAGCAGCGATATATTTAAAAAAATTAATCTGATGATGGCCCGTCGAAGACGAAACGTGGGATTGCAAAAATGTTGACGCCATTGGATAGAGCGAAAAATGTATATATGCAATTCATTTAAAATTCGATTTTGCAAAATTTCGGGTTTTCGGAATTCGCGTCAACAGTAGACTTTGCAGTTAATACTTTATATTGCTGAAATCTCAAATCATCCTGAGATAATAAAATTTATCATTTGTGCATTTGTAATTCGACTTAGATGTTTATAGCAATACTGTACAAAAATGAAGTTTTGGGTCAAACAATGAGACACAGTTTTTTTTCCGTAGAATTGAATGGTGTAATCAGTTTTTGAATGTTTTTTAATTTAAACAAATTATCAATAACTGAAAAATTCATTGTTTCAAGTCATTTTTTATTTTTTTGCTTTTTTTGAGCATGTTTTTGAAATGTTATTACACGTTATTTTTATTTCACCAAAAAGTATATGACAAAATGAAAAAAATGATTACCGGCAGAACTCCGTACAATGATTTTTCTTTGAAAAAAAAAAAAAAGTGTTTCAGGCCGAAAGAAATGAATATCAGAAACTTCTTGATTTTTTTATCTAAAAAAATTGAGGTTATTTAAGACAGTGAAAAGTATACTTTCACCAAGTTTCGTCAAAATCAGAAAAAAACCTGTTTTTCGCATTTTTCTCGAAAATTTTGAGGTTATGTTAAAAAGTGACCTCTACAAAAGTTGTAGATTTTTGCATGTTCTACAACTTTTGTATTGGATACTTTTTTCTTTGACGTCAACTTTCGCCAGAAATCCCTATGATACAATTTTTCATAACTTTTCAACCCCCCAAATCAACCCTCCGCCGCCCCTGCTCACGCATTTATTTTTTTTTAGATTTATTATAAGTCCCTTTACCATTTCCACTTATAAAAGTCCAGTAACAATTTTGTTTTCTTCAAGTGTAATTTGGTTGGACTAGTAAGCCTAATCTTAATTTTAATCGCGTAAATCACACAGCAGCAGACTGCATCATTTTTTATCATTAATATTCTCTAAAAGGCAGGTAGGCTTATGCACATTGTTTTTAGAATTAAATTTGACAGCGAATGAAAGTTTTCACAAGATAACAATGCCGCTAACTATTGCTGACGCTTCTCAAGTTGTTGCATTGATTGAATATGGATGAGTCAGCGTTATGTGTCTCGTTCATTGGAAATATCTCGTAATACCGTTCAGGTCTCAGGATGCGTGGAATCGGTATCTGCAAACTGACAAAGTCACGAGACGGCAAGGATCCGGAAGAAGTGTAACAACGGCGCTTGGTGATCGTTTCGTTGTGCTCAACACACTGGAGGATCGCAAGTCAACAGCAGTTCAACTTAAGCATCACCTTCTAACACTGTGAGGGGTTGAAGTAAGTGAGAGGACGATTAGGAGAAGGCTTGTAGAAAATGGTTTATCTTCACGAAGGCCGGCCACAGGACCGCAATTGCTACTACATGTAAATTGGATTCCTTTAATGATGAGTCACGTTTCTGTCTGCGATCACCTGATGGTCGGGAAAGGGTGTGGAGAAGACAATGAACGATATTCAGACTGCACCATATCTAAACGAGTATACATATTTTATGGAGGTTCTGTTATGGTATGGGCGGGCATTTCTACGAAAGCACGTACCGACTTCATATTTGTGGATAATGGAGTTTTGAACGCCTGCAAGATATATGAAAGATAGTCTTCAAGAAGCTGTCGTTCCATTTTCGTATTTTATTGGAGAAGGTTTCGTTTTAACGCACGACAACGCCAGACCACACACTGCACGAGTCGTAACTGAATACTTAATCGAGGTAATTCGTAAGCTTGATTGGCCCGCATGCAGCTCGAACCTTAACCCAATTGAATATCTTTGGGATGAACTTCAGAGGGCTATTCGTCGTCGACCAGTCATACCACAGACTCTTCAAGAGCTAAGACTGGCCCCTCAAGAAGAATATGAAGCAAATTCCCCAAATACGCTCTCAGGCTCGAGAAGGACATACACGCTATTAAAAATCCATTAAAAACACCCATCATAATTTTTTAAACATAAGAAAAAAAGTTTATTTTTGTTCCGTTTCTATTATTGTTTTAATTAAATTTAACTTTGTCTTAAATATATTTTTTTCTTAGTTAATCGTTGCAACCTGAATCGACAATGGATGGTGCTGCAACCAAATATCAATTCTAAGTTACATTAATTAATATTTGGGTGCTTTTATGAAATATTTTAGGGTGGCCTGTTTTTTTGCCGGTTTAAAAAGGCCGCCAGCCTGATTCAGACATAGTTGGGTATGACGTACCCAAGAATATGTAAACGTAGGAATAAAGGTTTCACCCTAATTGTATCAGCACATTGTTCTACCCATAAAAAGAAATCAAGAGTTAAGATATGGTGACCTGACTGGCCACGGATCTGGCCTTCTATGACACTTCTTCTCTAATACTTTTAGCCTAAAATGGGCTGGCGCCCCATCTTGTACCGACCATGTACCGTCTTTGACGTTCAGAGGCATATCTTTTAGAATATATGGAAGATGATTTTTACAAAAATTATAGGTAGCTTCTTTCTCGATATAGGATCTGGCAAGAATAGCATTGACAATAGCAGCAGATATTTACTGATAATCTGTCTTGAACATTTGTTTGCCTATAAGTATGGGGATTAGCAAATGAGCAAACATAAATATTCAAACAGTTGTTAATACAATTTCTGTAAATTTAGCCTCGTCGATAAGTAAGATGTTTCTGGTAAAGTTTTGATTCATCATCATTGATTTATTCAAACTGAACTTTGTAGAGATCAGTATTGACTTCTCTTGAATACTCTCCGTAAATTAATAACATGCCAACTAACTCATCGTTTTCATAAGCGTGACACGAAAATACAAGATATGAAAATAAAAACATTCAAAGGAAAGGCGAAAAACATTAGGTTACTGTACTGTTAGTTTTGAAATTGCAAGAGATCGACCACTGGCTTAAATTATTTGCAAGACTCGGTTTGCATGTTTGCAACTATAGAAGGCTTCAGTTGCCTTATTTTGGAGTTATTTAAAATATAAANATACGACTTGCCAATAAACAGTTACCATGAGCTTCTCCTACGGCGTACACCATATTTACTAATTCTTCTTTAGAGTAATTCATTTCACAATTATTACTGTCGTTTTTCTATTAAACCTTATGTGAATCGAAAATTTTCCAGATTATCCTTTGACAGTAGCCTACTACGTTATTTTACATATAAGCTATTTGTAAACTTCTCATTTTTTCATAGAAATGAGATTTCATGAAAAACTAATGAATTTTGGTATAGGAGCAGGTATAGCAAAGTTGTAGAGAATGTAATTCTGCATCTCATGGTATGAAAATAAACAGGGCGTTGCATTTAAAAAAATCGAGATTTTTAAATTTTTCAATTGGCAATTTTGACATGATATTTTGGTCACCTTGTATAACGCAGGCCAGTTTTTGGAGCATGATTCGAAAGAGTCGTCCTTACTAAACATCTGATAAAAAAGATGGGCTTAGTAGCTATTAGTATAACCTGTCAGTATCAGAAAATGTAAGCAGCCAATATCGACTAGAAAAACCTTTCAAACGAGATATTCTACACAAAGTACCCTTTATTTTTGATGTAGAATCCGAAAAAAATATAAAAAATGTGTTTCCATTTAAAAAACCAAAGTTGGTGTCTGGCCAGGAAAAGTGGAACACCCTGTATAGTTGAATATATTTTTAATTTGTATATTCCGAGAAATGTGTAAACACAGTAAAAAAGATAAATCCATATATTCCTCATTTTAACATAGATATATTGGACTTTCCCGCACTAGTGGGACACGCTGTATAGGTAAGTTTGGTTAAATTACAATATTTTGGACACCCCTACATGCACCTGCCCTGTGTCGGTTCTTATGCGGGACAACCTGTATGTTGGATAGCCTGTACAAAATATTTTATTAGCAAATGGTCCTAGCTAAATATTTACTAAATTTTATAATAAAAAAACTAGCTCACGATAATTGTAGTTTACCGATAATTGTATCAACGGAGTGTTCTGCCCTTGAAAATGAATCAGAAGAGTTAAGATCTAGTAACCTGGCTGGACACGGATCTGGCCCTTCATGAAAAAAAAAAAATTATCTCATGCTGCAGCGGATTTTTAAAATTGAATGGATAAAGTTAATAACCAAATAATGATAAAAAAAATTATAACTTGACAGTTGTACAGTGCTCTATTTTAAAAACACACTGTTATGTGCCATATATTTTTGCGTTACAATATACATTTATATATACCTAATTTCAATCTCATTGACATTACTACAAAAATATTTTTTTTTGACCAAGAGTTAAGCTGCATCAAAAGAAACCAGTAAATGAATATTTCATGTGTGAACGAATGAATTGAAATCACGTGTTTGGCATTTTTATTTTTTCGTTTTTGGTTTAAAACATTTATTTTTCTACAAGTTTAAGATTTTTATGTTGTGTTACATTAATAAAATAATTATTATTATCTGACGATATTGTAGATCGTTGGAAGTTGAACATGTTTGCATTTGGTTGGTTTTTACTTCACATTTTAAGGGCCTTTTCCAATTTGCAGCCCAGGCGACAAGAAATGTGATCCGAGAGAATCTCAACGTCATAGTAGAAGAATTTACTCCAGCTGTAGAAAAAGTATTGGCAGCGATATTCGACGAAGTGATATTTAAAGCAGTCACACAAATTCCCTATGACAAATTATATCCAAAATAGTTTAATACTCATTTTTGTGCAAAGTAATTAGCTAGTTGTTATATAGCCATAAATAACGTTTTTGGATTGATGAGATTATAAAGAAATGTAGATAGTTTTTAAAAAGTTGTGAATATTCCAACATATACTTATGTAACTTACGATATTTATAAGTGCTAAAAAGGGTTAATACTTTTATGTTTTATTTTATTTTAAGACACGTAAAAGGAAAATATTAATCACTAGGTATTTCGTATATCTTTTTGTAACACAGAATTTATTTATTCTGGTAATGCAAAGTAACAAAACATGTTGTTTAAGCAGAAAATAAACTTGTACGTATTACATATTTTTGTCCATTCCTTATATTTCCAGTTATTGTTTGAAAACTACTAACAACTTGTTTATTAATCCTTCTTTTTCAGAACCGTGTTTCGCGAAAGGCTTACTTTTATTCGTTTCTAGGAAGAACTTTCCAGTAGACTTTGTTGTGAGGTTTCCTAGAGTAACTTCTTCATCTTCACATTTACCTTCCTTGTAGGAATCCCAGTCGGCGCATTTTCTTGCCGAAAAGTCATTCGGTTGTAAGATAGCCTCAGTCAAGTATTCACCCGCTCTAAAATGGTCGCATGGAACTAAAAGTATTAAATTTACAATCAAAATAAAGTCCTTACAAATAAACATCTTCCTAAATTAAGCCACTTTTTCTTAGAGCGTGTAAAACTATTTAAAATAAACTCTTTTTTCAAATAACATTTCCCAAAAAAAAAACTTAGCATATTAATTTCGAAAACATTTACACCTGGAGTTTAAAGAAATAGTTTTAAATGGTCGCCAGTCTGATTCATATTGTATAGTTGGGTAAGATGTACCCCAGAGTGTAACAAAAGCCGGGACGCGGGGTAGTTTATTTGTTAGTTCTTGTAACGGATGGGCTGACTCAGACAGTAAAATAATTCAGTCAACAATAAATTATGAAAAGTTAAGGGTTTGCAAGTAGATTTAGCGTCGCCATAGAGTCGTCGAGAGACTATAGTGCCTTTTGTCACCGGGAGTAATAAATTTCCAAAGCCATCCATCGGAGAAAGCCTCATGAAATTTAGCAATGTTTTTGAACAAGTTGACTTAGAATACTTAGACCATCGGGGTCATGTGTTGGGCCATCCATTAGCGACGGTTTAGCCCATGGTGAAGGCAAAAATCGATATTTCTAACAACGCGCGAAATGCATTCGAAATGATGAAAGAATTCCAAGATAGTTAAATAATTTGTTAGAATGTTGTGAGGAAAATAATAATAGATCAAATAGCTGATTTTTAGGCGGATTTTCCAAGCGATAAGAATAGATTAAATGATATTGACTAATCCGTCCCGTGTTGCTATGCGGAGTCAGAATAGGAAGGTGTAGGGTGATTTGTAAGTTTAGTTTAGTCTCAAAATTATCCATACAATTGTAAATTCAGTGAATTAGATAACTATTAACATGGTATAGTTATGCCAAAGCGTCCCGATATTCAGGGATCCCGCCAGTAAGATAAGAACCGAAACTTCGGAACTCAAGAAATGGGCGTGTCGAAGCGCGGTGTCGAATTCAGGAGACATCTCCGGAAAAGGCAGTTTTTCCTTGGGTTCCACACTGGGTAGGTTTCTTAATTTTAGAGTCTCGGGTTAATTTATTAATGGATAAAATCTTTCCAAATTTTGCTATGGATCTCGCATTCCCTGAATCTCGGTACGCTGTTGCGAGTAAATTACTTAATTCGTTCGAAGCCGTGTGTCCTCATTATTTTGTTTGTTTATTTTGTTTTTATTGTTATTAAAACCCTTCCTGGAAAGTTTTGGTGTTTCTTTTTTGTTCTTCTAACTTCAGTCACCCTGTACAGCCAGCCACTGGATTACATTCTACGTAAGCAATGGATGGTAAGTGCCTGAAAGTCATTCTCTGAACATACAACATTTGTAAGTTCCCACGTATTAATTAAAGTGTAGATGATAAAAATTGAAAAGTACCTTTCGAGAAGTTAATAGTAAACTGTTTTGAAATCCAATATCGTTATGATACTGGTCATAACGGTAGATAGATAAATAAAGAAATAACCCCTGAGGTTACAAAAGTATGTAAACGTAGGACTAAAGGTTTCCTCCTAATTGTATCAGCACATTGTTCTACCCATAAAAAGAAATCACAAGAGTTACGATCTGATGACCTAAATGGCCACGGATCTGGCCTTCCATGACCTATCCATTTCTTCTCTAAAACTTCTAGCTTAAAATGGGCTAGCGCCCCATCTTGTACAGACCATGTGTTCTCTTTGACGTTTAGTCTTCTAGAAGACATGCAAGATGATTTTTACAAAAATTTTAGGTAGCTTCTTACTCGATATAGGATCTGGCAAGATAAAAGATCCAACAAGAATAGCATTGACAATAGCAGAGATATTTACTGATAATCTGTCTTGAACATTTCGTCCCTCTTATCACGTAGGGGCGTATAACCCAAGAAATGGATATACACATCGCTTCTACGTGATAATAGGGACGATTTTTTTGCCTATAAGTATGCAGAGTAGCAATTGACCAAACATAAATATTGGGAAAGTTGTTAATCCTATTTCGGGCAAATGTCGCCTCGTAGATAAATAAGGTGTTTCTGGTAAAGTTTCACTTCATCATTATTGATTTATTCAAACTAAACTTTGTTGAGGTCAGTATCGACTTCCCTTGAATACTCTTTGTAAATTAATAACATGTCGAGTAACTCATCGTTATCATAAGCGTGACACGAAAATACAAGATAAGAAAATAAAAACATTCAAAGGAAAGGCGAAAAACATTAGATTACTGTGCTGTTTGCTTTGAAATTGCAGGCAATCGATCACTTGCTTAAATTATTCGAAAGACTCGGTTTGCATTTTTGCAACTATAGAAGGCAGAAGTTGCCTTATTTTGGAGTTATTTAAAATATAAAATTTGAAAAAAATATTATTTCAAGTAGTTCTACACGCCGCGCCGTTAGAAAATCACCTACAAAAATTTCGTGTAAATATGCGACTAATATAATTTAGCGCTTTGGAATTTAAAACATTCATATCTTTACAAGTCTTGGATACATGTTCTAATGATTTTTTTTGGTCACAATAGAACAAAAGTCAACTGTTGCATTTACGAAAGATATATCTCTAACACTCTGTAAATATACTACCTACTTGGATCTATAAAAGTTGTGATGTCGACTAAATCAATTTTCATGCATCCTGGTTGGGAATTCCCGCCATTTGGGAAGAAGTCAATAGTGCCGGTAGCATCTTCGAAGCCAAAAGTACCACCATCGGTGTGGATCACCTCCACAACTTCAGCATCATGTTTATTCAACCTCTTGTCATATGGTCTCTGAACAAATAAAGGACCCGCAGGATCTAATGCTATGATCCTTGGTAACTTTTGTCCTGTCTGCTTATAAACACGTTTTCCTACGAATCCGGTAATCTGACCTCCCAACGAATGACCAATGACAACAACTTTATCTAGACTTACACCGTGGTTCCTGTTTAGGTTCACAATCAAGCGGGCGATGATTTTTGCTAAAAGCAAATATGTACTCCGTTTATGCTACGTAATTGCCTGTAGCTGCAATTATTCTAAACTATTACTTACCAACGTCGTAAGTGTTAATAGATGATACATAATAATAATCAAAAGCAGGTTTCTTCCAATCTACTTCGACGATGTAATAGTCTTCTTGAGTTTTTAGAAACGCATTCTTTACATCTTCGTACCAAAACACATCTTTACTGTTTATCCAACCATGGATCAAAAATACGATTGTTTTATTATGTAGCAAATCTAAGTTACGTTCGTTCAACTTTATGTATGTATCAGAATTATTTTTTGTGTACAAATAGAAAGTCACGTCGTCTGGAGTTACTGGATCCTGTTGTATTTCCCTGGTTGTAATAGCTGCGTGTTTGTATATGTTGAAGAAGTCTAATCTTAGGCGCTCGTCAAGGACACATTCTGCACCTGTAAAATATTTCTCACGTTTTATAGTCGTACTGTATGGTCTTGTGATAGAATATTCATTTTTTTTTTACTCTTAACAAATACAGTATTTACGGTACTTAAAAAAATTGTATTTACTGTATGTTGTCCTACTTTTAATATCAGTAGGACCAATTATTATAGACATTATCAGAGATGATGAACTGCCTTAAACTCCAAAAGGAGCTTAATTGATAATGTTTTAATTGAAAGAAATTGGGTAATAAATAGTTGCAGACCTACATAACTCGTGTCATAGATAAACATGTAACGATAGCTAGTGTTTTTGTTATGAATGTGATAATAAAATGTGCTTTTTGATTTTAGTTGTATTTATTCATTTTTATAACATATTGTCTTGAAATTTGCAACTATCTAAAACTTAAAACTACATAATTTGGTGCATCATATTTGGATCAGATACACCATAAAAAGTCAGTTTAATTTGTTAAAATATCTTGTTATACGAGGTGTCCCGCATAAGAACCGACACAGGGCAGGTGCATGTAGGGGTGTCCAACATATTGTAATTTTACCAAACTTACCTATATACGAAGTTGCAACCCTGAAGAATTATTAGCTTCACCTTAGAAGAACCAAATTTGGTACATGATTTAGGTTTGTTACTGGTCTTCCTTGACTATGATTTAAAGTTAATTAAAGCACTACAAGGTGTTTAATGGGGATGACTCACCCCTAAAATTGTACCGAACTTTTTTTTCATTGACCGAATTGAAAAATAATATTTATTCACAGAAGAATTTACTTTTAATATTTTTTTTTACTCTTGTTAAATTTTAAGAAACTTTATGGTTTTCAAGAAAAATCGTATTAACTGAAACAAGATTTTAACAGTGTTTATTAGAATATAATCGAAAAGTCAGTAGTAGGCAATGAATTTATCTTTCAAACTTGTCAGTTAGAAATAAAATTATTTTATTTCAGATGCCTCTGATTGTTGTTGAAAAAATATCAGTTATTATTTTTATTATTTATTTGGGTTTTTTACTTAATACAATATTCACTTATTTAAAAACTACCTAGGTACTTGTTTTCTTTTTGTAGAATTAGGAGAAAAGTGAAGTAAAATTTATTTGGCCAATTGTCAAATTTAAAAGATAAAGCCTACTATTGAATTTTTGATTATTTTTTAATGAACACTGTTAAAATCTTGAGTCAGTTAATACGGTTTTTCTTGATAACCATAAAGTTTCTTAAAATTTAAAAAAGTAAAAAAAAAGTTAAATTAAATTCTGCTGTGAATTAATATTACTATTTTTCAATTCGACCAATGAAGGTGTGAGTCATCCCCAATGAACACCTTCAATTAACTTCATATCTAAATCATAGTCAAAGAAGACCAGTAATAAACCTAAATATGTACCAAATGTGGTTCTTCTACGGTAAAGTGTTGCAGAGATGTTAATTTTTTTCGAAATTTAGGGCCCAACTTTGGGGGCTAATAATCCCTCAGGGGTGCAACTTTGTATATAGGTAAGTTTGGTTAAATTACAATATTTTGGACACCCCTACATGCACCTGCCCTGTGTCATTTCTTATGCGGAACACCATGTATAAGAATTTTGATTTCGAATTCTTAACAAAGAATTAAATAGTGGTCATACCAAAATTAGCTATTTTTGTTAAACTCAAAGTAAATATAACAAATGACTCCAAATTTAATATAGTTTTAATAGGTGCAAATACTTTAGATTTTGTTTTAAACATTTCAACGCAACTGTGACATTTCGAAAACATATTAAAGTATTTATTTGTATTTTTACATCTGATAGATGTTTCACATTAAATCTAATCTTTGATCTCTTTGTTTACAATGACATTTTATCTATTCTTTTAAAAGGGTTGGATTAAAACAACTCAGTCGTCAGACAGGTTGTGATGGGGTAATATGGATACCGGGATCGTAATCAGCGACCCCAAAAACATAAAGGTCACCTAGTCTGGGAAAAAGGACTTTTGGATTTCTGTTTTTGTGGGCGTGTGTTTGTGTTTAACGTTTTAACATTAGTTAACCTTTATTATTAAAATTAACAAATCTTAAGACTATAAGCCTCACATCAGTGAAACATGATTGGAAAGCCTAAGAGGTAATACATTGAAGTTCTGAAATTATTTTAATAGTAAAAGTATGTAAATTAGCACACGAAAGTGATTCACTAGAGCTTTAGTAGTATTTCATATCACTTTTTTACTATTTTCATTTCTAATTTTATTTACATCAGAACCGACGACAAATAAATAATTAAAATTAAACTTACTTACCTAATGTTAAAAGAAATACAAAGATGACACCAATAAAACGTGACATTTTACTTCAAACACGACAAACCAATAAAAATTAGATTCGCTCTTCTTCTTATATTTATACAACGTAAATGAACTTTAAGAATGTTATTTTAACATCGATAACCCTAAAGAATATACTTATTGTTAGTCTTTAATTACAAAACAAACAGGAAATTTTTAAACGACATTATATAACTACATAATGTGTATTAATAAATGCATATACATAGGACACAATTATATTTTAAGTAAATGTTGGAAAAATTACTATTTTTATTGCTGTGAATCAACCAAACTGGTAGCAGAAATTTTAAAGGTATTAAGCTAACTCAAACAAATTAAAAAACTTTCTTTTGTGTAATAAATCTTATCAAATTAAGTCAAACAATGTTCTTCCATACCAGAAATCTAACAGTTTGAAGTTTATATACTTTTTTACGTTAATATTTTTAATTATACAGGGTGTTCGCAAATTTCACCGACAATGTTTCACTGCATATTCACGACGATAAATAAATACGATCTACGAAAAAAATGTTAAATACAAAATTGTTGGTTTTTGAGTTACAAGCCTTCAAATTTGTCAAATTTAAAATTAATTTAATTAATTACTTCATAACCCTTTCACCGATCGCGTTAAAATTTGGCATATTTATTTGGACTATTATGGCATATTGTTTCTTAAAACTTTAATTAGATCGATATACTGGGTGATAGTTTTCTCCGGTTACCTCTCCCTTTTAGCGGTCAAAACTTTTACAGTGCTCGTATTTTTTTAAAACGGGCAGCAACATTTAAAAGGTCGTTTTATTTAAAAAAAAAATAGTTTCTTAAGAAAATCGACTACAGAAAGCCATTCTGATGGTTGATTGTTGTGACTATCAGGTCATTATTGTCGTGTTTCTTTAGGATTATCATCACTCCACATATGCAAATTATGAAAATTTACAACTCCGTTCCTTGTAAAACAAGATTCGACGGTAAAAAACAAATTTTGAAGCAAATTATTATCTGCGAAGCTATTCACCGACCAGTGGAAAAATTGTAAACGTGCGGTGAGATCTAAATTTTCAAGTTCTTGAGTAGGAGTTAAATGAAATGGCCGAAGAAGTTGCTTTTTTAAAGTTTTGTCTTACATACATTTATTTAATTGTCTTGATACACTGCGGACTCTTCATAATTTGCATGTGTGGAGTGATGAGAATCCTAAAGAAACACGACAATAATGACATTACCTAACAGCCACAGTAATCGACATCTTGTTTTCATCGCCTACTGAACTCAAAGTTTTAAATCCGTGACACTGCTACGCAACCCGAAACATACAGACCTGCAAATATTGCTATTTTTCTCAAGAATGGCTTTCTGTATGTGATTTTGTCAATAGACAATATTTTTTTTTAAATAAAACGACCTCTTCAATGTTGCTTTCCGTTTTAAAAAAAATACGACCACTGTAAAAGTTTTGACCGATAAAAGGGAGAGGTAACCGAAAAAACTATCACCCAGTATATCGATTTGATTAAAGCTTTAAGAAATAATACGCCATAATAGTCCAAATAAATGTGCAAAATTTTAACGCGATCGGTAAAAGGGTTATGAAGTTATTAATTAAATTATTTTTATTTTTGACAAAAAGTTTTTATTTAACTTTTTTTTTCGTAGATCGTATTTATTTATCGTCGTGAATATGTAGTCAAACGTTGTCGGTGAAATTTGTGGACACCCTGTATACAAAAAGGGAAGTTGCCTAATGAAACATTCCCAAATATGGAAAGAAAAAGATCTCTTTGTAGCAACTATTTTATACGTTATTAGCAGAGAGCGGACAATTTGTGTCTTTAACCTTGAACATAGATATGTCATTCATAAACCTAGATACATTTTCCATGACGCAGTGGCGTGTCGGGTATGCATCGGAAATTTACGTGATAATTCACGAAAATTCCACGGTACATACATTTTTAAGCGTTATAAAATATTTAGAAAATCAGAAATTGTATACTACATATTTATTAAATAAAGTTCGGTTAAAAATAGTGTCGTTCTTTTAATTGGAAATTAGGAGTCAATGTAACGAATATTCTCAGGCGACGCACATGATAGTCCAACTCACGCTCCATTCATAACTGGGCTGCAGTTTGAATTCTGACCAATAGGAAATTCGATAAACGCAACCGATGTCGACGGATGGACTAGAGATGGGCGCGAGTGTCATTTCATTTCTTTAGAACTAAATTAACTTAATTATTTTCTCGTTATTTAACCTGTTCACATGATTTATGGATTTTAAATAAAGGGTACAAATCTTTGCGAGGATAATACGATATATTTGCTATACATAATAATTATATTTTGCATAGTTTATACACAATACATTTTTGAACGCGTACACATCTCTACCAAAATTAGACCTATTCTTCGGGTTAAAGACACACATTGTCCGCTCTCTAGTTATTAGTCTTCGTAAAGGGTGATAATAAGTCAGTAGAACACAGAATGTTTGAATGATTCTATTATTTAACAATTTAAGTAGATATACCTATCATGTATGTGTTTTGGTATTAATTATATTGGATGTTTCGTTTATGGAGTTAGATATCTTTTGTATGCCTAGATTTTTGTTATCGAAAAAAAAATGTTTTTGAAGTTATTTAAAATGACTTTAAAATAGAGAAAAAAATGCGAGAGCTAGTAATAAAATATACGTTTTTTAAATGTAGCAGAAAATCTTATATCTATTTACATATAAATTATTTACATTATAAATTAATTAAAAAATATACTGCAAAGTATAAAACAGTTGGTGATCAAAGTAGGTACTAAAATATTAGTGAAATTACTGAAACAAACGTACGTCTTGGTTTCCGAAAAAATATTTCTGTTACTGTACAACTCAAATCAATTTAATTTTCTGAAAATATCTAACAGGTTATGAACAGATTCACTTCATCCATTATTGTCTTTATTTTTTTTACGTTATTGTTTCTAAATAAAAATTTCCTTGTGCGTTGACTGTGATATCTCCCATCGAAACTTTCTTGTTTTTGTCACATTTACCAGCTTTGTAGGATACCCAGTCTGAACATTCCGTTGCTATGAAGTCTCTGGGATTTAAAATCGCCTCCACGAAATATTGGTATGCTCTGCGGTGGCCACAGTAAACTAAAAATATGTAGAAGATAATTCTAAAGTATATGTAGTTAGACAGGAGATAGAAAATGCCATTTTAAGCACGAAATAACTTCCGATCCAAATTAAATTTGAGAGAACTCTTTAGACAATATTTACAATGTTATTTTGTATTCAGGTTTTCATTTATCTAAAATAAGTTACTCGGAAATTTTGCTGATCAATTAAAATAAGAAAAAGTTAGTAAGAAAAATGAAAATTTGAAAACCAATAAAAAAGATACAACTTGAAAAATTTGGTTTTAAAAGGAATATTTTTTCCTTATTTTAATTAGTAAAATCTGAAAATAATTCATAGCCCCTTTGATTTATCGAAGTATCTCTCTTTGATGTATCTTACCTACGGCTACTCATGAGACCCAATAAGTTTGAAACCGGTCTATGTCTGGTGGTTCTACTGACGAATGATTTTACTACTACTATTTACTTCTTTTACTACTACTAGATATTGGAAGTGTAGTCCGTGTAATCCGTAGAATTTTTGTTTCCTATAATATCATTAACTGATGATATTACACTGTAAAAAATCAGTGTGAGTGAAAGCAATAAAGGTTCGGAGTGAATCCATTCAGTGAAATTATTGAGTACATTTTCACTTAATATTGGGCATTTTGATCATTTTACTCATTTGTGATTATATTTAAACTAAAACTGAGTACTTTCAATCAAATATAGGTACTCCTTAAACAAATTCTTCACGTATTTGGTGCACTTGTACAAAAATCAGAGTAAATGTTCTCATTCCTGAGCGAGTTTAAATGTATATTAATTCCGAGTAATTTGAATGGCGCCGTGAAGATGGCACCACTTACATGTTGCTTCTGTAATCTTGACCACAGTAGACAGGGGCCCGTTAGATACTCGAACTCGATGCTTCAGAAAAGTGTGATCATCAGAAGAACAGGCCTTAGCCGGCAGGTCTCAGTTAATACTAAGTCTGAGTAAAAAATGACTCAATAATAGTTAAATTTATGCTTACATTAGAGAAAAAGTAATCTCTAAATTGGCTTTATATACTCAAAATAGAGTCAAAAGTCGCTCAATTGATAGTTAGCTCGGATTTGAGAAAAACTCACTCATTTCTGATGCAATAGTTTCACTCACTTGTACTCATACTAATAGAGTGAAAATTTCACTCAATCAATAGAGTCTGTACAGAAATTTATACATTATTGAGTAAAATTGAGTGAAATTTGAGTATTTTTTTTTTACAGTGTATAGGAAACAAAATATTTTTTTAATGTTTATGAAAATGCATATTTTGTTAATTAAAACGGTGCAGGTAATCAAAATAGAATAAGATATATGCTCTTTTAGCGCATTATAAAGGATTATAAAGGATGTGGAATAAATAAATTTAGAAGCTAATAGAACATTAAAACACAAGACGACTATTTCCTATAGATCAATCAAAGATGATTTTTTAAACAAAATTTTAGTCGTATCCAAAAAACAACGGAATTAATTGAAGTTTTATATAAATAAATTTTTGAAAATGGTAAAAATGTTGATATTTTACCATCTGCTGGAGATCGATGGTTAATTATAACATTTAGGATAGGTTATTTCGTATAAAATTTAATTTTACATCTTTTTATGTAAAAAAAATACTTTTACTTTATTAAAATCGTACCATTTTTGAGAAAAATTAATATCACAAGATCAACCAGCTTCTGTTCTTTAATATACAACATCTTCTGATACGAATTAGTCATACTACAAGGGTGACTTCCTTGGATGCAAGAAACCAATGTAAATCAAGTTACTTTAGTATAATTTTATTTCCTCAAAAAGTTATCTGCCTTCAAAAAATTTTTTAATCTCTTTTGCTTCTTACTAACAGTATTAGTAACATAACTTTTTAATAAAGTAAAATTGTACAAAGATAACTTAAAGTCGATTTATTTTTATTTAAGTAAGTTTTTATTTAAGTAAGCTACCTTGAGCTATGGTTAGTTGGTTTCCGGCACCTTGTACATTTAAAAAGTAGAAATTGGCTAATAACACTGACATATTTAACACCTCCAAAAACTTACCTGTACCAATTTTTCTCTATATTTATCTCAAAAATTAAAAATCCATATGAAAAAATATAATTTTTTTTGATGTTCTGTCAACCCTTCAACTTACGATACAATTTTTTCAAACACCCTTTATATTTCTCCACAAATAAGAGTAGCAATTTTTTTAGATAAACTTTCGACTACACTCTGCATCTTCATTACTTTTCAGAAGGAAGAAACCATTCCTCCATGATTATTATTAATCCATAAATTATTGCAACTGATTTTATAAAAATCTACGCCGAATTTCATTCAGATCGTAGTTTTGAAAGTATTTAAGAACATGTGCTTTTTGCAAGCGCATTTTTTCCACTTTCTAGTAGTAATATTTATTTAAAATGACAACATTTATCTCTGGTTTTAGTTTTTACAGACATTTTACTCATTCTCTACGAGAGATGTTTTTTTTAAATTTACTTACTTAGATCTGTATAAGTTGTGATATTGAAAAAATTAATATTCCAGCATCCCGGTTGATCACTTCCACCGTTTAGGAAAAAGTCGATGGTCCCAGTAGCGGCTTTGAAGCCCAAGATACGACCATCAGTATGAATTACTTCAACAATATCAGCATCATGTTTGTTCAGTCTTTCCTCTTCCGGTCGCAGATTGAATAAAGGTCCTGCAGGATCTAGTGCTATAATCCTGGGCAACTTTAAACCTGTCATGTTATAGAAGTATTTCCCCACTAATCCTGTGATTTGGCCACCTAAGGAGTGACCGATCAGGATAAGGCGATCTAACAATGCGCCGCGAATTACAATCAGGTCTAGAATTAGGTGGGTGATAATTTTTGCTGAAATTATAATGCCTATAGGTAACCATGAACTCAGATCATCCATCTCTTTATTAGATTATTAGAGAATTTATAAATAACTAATAATTACTCAAGTCAGTACTGTAACAGACCAACTACTGCTAAATGCAGTAAAATAAAAACTGGATCATTTATTAAAATTAACAAATGAGGTTACTAGTCTTCGAAGAAATTATTTCATAATCTTATTTGTTTCTAATAGTAGATACATAACATCATTTTGGATAAAGACCAACACGAAAGGACCACCCATATAGTTAATGGAAATCGACAACCCGTCAAATTGTCGGAAAATGTTATAGTTAGAGATGTCCTAATCAAAATTTGTCACGAGCTCAAAACCTAAAAATGGCTACTTAGATATAGAAACAGTCAGCGAGTCCCATTGCGTATCTTCATAGTCTTTTTGACGGAAAACCGTATGGCTCTTCTGTCTTTATCTCTTTCTCTCTGATAAAAACTAGGCTATTTCACTGATCATAAAGTTCTTTATTTGAAGTCTTATGATTATGAGCTTTGGAAAACAAGTTTTTATAGCGGATGTAAGTCAGCAAAATAATTATCTTATCATTAACGATCTACAGTTGTTTTACCTTACGTCTGTTTTTTATTTATGCCCGTCTTTTATATTTTCCACCAGCTTCTTAGTTTGCGCATTATTTTCATTTGTATTTGTTTTGCTTACTTTTTTGTTTTACCTTTTTTTAATCTCGCCCACATTTCTTACTCTTCATAACTCCATAAAGAATGCCTGTATTTTTTTCTGTATGTCTGCATTTTCTGTTTTCACGCGCTCTTTCACTATCAGCTAGCTTTGTCACTTTGCTTTTTTTTAATATTCCTTGGTATTTTTTGCTCTCTTATATTATATCTGCTATTTTTATCCCACTTCTTCCCCCCCCCAATTTTTATTATGTGCGTGTTTTTTATTACTTTGCCCGTGCTTTTTTTATTTTCTACCTTCATTTGTACTATGGGCTTTCTTTCGCGAGTGAAGTCGTATGTTGTGGTATGTGTAGTATGAGTGAGTGAAGAGATTTAAACTGCCATATGACAACTAAGATCAAAAGAGATAGAAAGAGATAGACAGTCAGATATTCACCAATAACAGTCCTAAAAAAAGCCTAATATAAGAGTTATTTTTATTTTAAGCCCGTTTTTCTTCTGTATGCTTTCCATTGTCTTTTTTCTTTGCTTGTTTATCCTTTACGCCCGCTTTTTTCTTTGTGCCTGCATTTTTTAATATTACGTACCTATGCCACTTATTTTGTCCCGCTTCTTTTATTAGACACCTGCTTGTTTTTATATTATGCACGTTTTTTTACTTTACGCCGCTTTATATCTACCTGGTTATTCTTTACGTATGTTTTTTCCTTTGCACTTGCCTTTTTCCTTTATTGTTCCTGATTTTTTGATCGTTGACAACTTTTTTACTCCGTTTTTCTTATTTTACGCCTGGGTTTTTACGCCTTCTTTTTTTATTCCTTCAAAAATTTTCTCTTTGTTTCGGGAAGAAGGTGCCACATGCGAACTAGCCTTATTTCTCTCAGAGAGATAAAGACAGAAGAGCCATAAAAAAGACTATGTATACACGCTCACTGTCAATGTCGTATATAGGTATTCATTTTTGGGTCTTGGTCCCGTGACAACTTTTGATCAGGGTCTCTCAAACTATAACATAATTCATTTTCAGGCAATTCGACGGGTTGCCGATTTTCATTAACAGTGTGCGTGGTGGTAAATCACCCTGTATAAAATACAAAGCTTCTAAAAAATAGAAATTTTGAAAAGACAATCTCAAGTTGAATAAATAAAGTACTACAATGTGTTTTGAAACTTATGTTCTACAGGAATTGATCGAATACTATTTGAGTTTCATTAAAAAAATACAATGACGTTCATCACTTCCAAACAATTGAACGTAAAAAAGGTACGTGTCCAACAAATGTCCTGAAACTTCACCGCTTTTGATTTAATGAATTTATTCTACATTTTTCTTCCAGACTTACCAACATCTGAGGCATTGATAGATGATACAAAGTACTTCTGATCGGCGGGGTCTTTCCAATCTACTTGGACAATAAAATAATCACCGTATATTTTTAGAAAAGCATTCTTCAAGTTTGTGTACCACGCAATGTCCTTGCTGCTTGTCCAGCCGTGAATAAAAAATACAATTTTTTTGTTTAGGAACAAATCTAAATTGTCCGGATTCAGCTGTATGTATTGATCGGGGTGGTATCTCGTGTATAAATAGTAAGTGACATTTCTGTAGGTTACTGGTTTGTTCTGGAATTCTCTGGTACGGATGGCGATTGTTCTGTATATGTTGAATAAGCCTCTCTTTATACTCTCTTCTATATTACATTCCACAGTCACAACTACAACAAATATACAGGGTGCTTCAGGAAAGCTTACCTAGGGGTAGTAGAACATCAAAAAATAAGAAGTTCTTTCCATGAACTATTTTTTGTGCCTTATATTTGAAAGGAATTTGTTATGAATTTTGACAATATTCCAAAAATTATAGACATATCGGATTTAGACTGAAGGGCATATGTTTTGAAGGACTATAACTAGCTTAGCTTGGAAAAAAATACTATAAACCGCTACATTTTCGGAAAAAAGTAAATAAGTGGAGGATATTTTTCTTTAATTTTTTTTCGATCTTGTAAACATGTGTATATGTTTAATTTTTACAAACTGCAAAATAATATCTTTCATTGCAACAATTACAAAAATCATATAATTTACACGAAACAAAAAAATATACACACATGGAGTAAATAAGTCGTAAAAACCTCAAAATAACGAATAACAAACTTAAGCCAAGAAAGGAGATAGAAATAGATATAACTTATGCACCATTGAAATGTTATTTTCTTTGTTTATTGGTTGAATAGTTTCCAAACTGGTTATCAAGTAGGCGATTTGGACTTCCTGATATTTCGGGAGACATACTACTATCTTCAGAAGAAGAAACTCTGAAACTGGAGATTAAGTCCTCTGGTCGGTATTTATATGTGTTGTGTGTATTGATTCGTGTCACTGCTTTTTTGTAGAGCCTTATCTAAAATCTTTTTGCTCTCAATAGAATCGTATTAGATCTATATGTATGTATCTGTTCTTTGTTTCACAAAAGCAAGTAAAAGATTCCTAATTAAGGCCAAGTGTAAAAACAGTGTATTTTTTATTTAACTTTAAGGCGCTATATTTTGTAAACAAAAGGCAAGAGATTTATAATTCACGGGAAAAATTCTGATTGCTTTTTTATGTTTAGTACTCTAGAATTTGTGGTACGTTTCTGACACTGTATAAATAATATTAATGAAATTATAATTTACAAACAATAAACAAAAAACAAACAATTTAGAAACAATATAATTTATAAATTACAAACAGTATTGTTAATAAAAATAAAAAAGTTCAAAAAAACATGTTCACAATTTTATGAAAATTAAAAAAAAAATCAATGTAGGTACCTACTTAAACAGAATCAAAATGAAAATGTTACAAAATACATTTAGACTAGACTTGCTGAAAACGTTAGCATTGTCAGTTTTCACCTACATTCTAGTTTGGCAGGAAATGATAAAATATTTAAAAATGTAAAATAAAGGGACATCGGACATCTATCTAACGGATCAAGACAGATTTTTCAGTGTTCATATTTAATATTTATTTTGGTATAGCGTTATTAAAACTTCACTTACCTGAAATTAATACCATCGGAAAAATTACATTTTTCAAAAGAAGCATTCTCTTTTGATAACGCGAGTTAAAAGAATTTTGGATGCTTAGATTCTAAATCCATAAAATTTTATTTTCTTGAAACAGAAATGTTCGAACTTTCGAACACATGAGATCATGCGGTATAACTACGTAAGTGTTAAAGTAAAAAAAATATATTACCTATAATTGCTTCAAAACGTGTAGAAATAAAATATAAATATGACCATTAAACAAATCTTGGGTACTTTAAGAATTAGATAAACCATATTTTAGATTAGGTACCCACCTATTACTAAACTAAGTACATTATTTTTTATTATCGTTTTATTGTTATTCAATTTTAAATTTATAATTATTTAGAAAGAGAAGTAGGTACATCACTCACTTTATAATATATAATAGATATATAATAGAGCCAATAAGGAGCTAACATAGTTCATCAGTCATATGTATACCAATGTTCTGTCGCAAGACATATATATTCTAATGGACAAATATATTATTTACTATTGAAGTAAATCGTTTTGTGGCGACTTCCACAGGAAACTTTGTGCTTAAAACTTCAATTTTCCATTTTTTATTTCAGTTTCATATTTTAGAAGCAACATGTTGTTAATTGTGATATATACGTTAGCGTAACTTGTGAAATATACATATATTAATAAGAACACCACTCTCTAATTTTTTTTGAGATCCACAATTTGAATGAATATTTACTGTATATCGTAGCCTTTTAGATGTTGAACCAAATATGGTGGTCTAGTTGGTAATCCATGGCCTGATACAGAATAATTAAGCCTTAAATGTATTACATTATTGTTTCTGTTTCTGTGTCTGTTTAAAAACTGAGAATTGGGAATAATACGAAACATCAAGCAATTATTTACGTTGCTGATTATAAGTGGAAAATAATAAAATTAGAAAGAAAGCTTTCCAATCCTTTTTTTTTAATTTAAACAGAAACCTTGATTGAATAAAAAACATTTCTGCGTCATAGAGAAACTTTTGGGATACTGATATATTTTGTCATGTTAATTAAACGATTTTTAATAAAACCTAAAATGATTTGCGCAGATCATTCCGTAAAATATTCTGAAAATAATAATAGCAGTAGTGAGTGTCATTGATTCCTATTCATTGGATCATCATACTACGTTAATTTAGTTAGGTATATATATCTATTGTATCTAAAGGAAAATTAAAAAATATATATCTGAATCGTGCGATCTAAAAATATTTTAGAAGGGTCTGGATAGTCATAATTTATATTTATATACAGGGTGATTCAGGTTTAATCTGGATAACTTCAGGAATCGATAGAAACAGGTTGACTGCGTAGCGCCCCAGCTGCGTTAATTTCATTTAACGTTATAGCAACCGATGAAAATAAAAAAGACTATGTATACACGCTCACTGTCAATGTCGTATATAGGTATTCATTTTTGGGTCTTGGTCCCGTGACAACTTTTGATCAGGGTCTCTCAAACTATAACATAATTCATTTTCAGGCAATTCGACGGGTTACCGATTTTCATTAACAGTGTGCGTGGTGGTAAATCACCCTGTATAAAATACAAAGCTTCTAAAAAAAAGAAATTTTGNGAATAACTTCAGGAATCGATAGAAACAGGTTGACTGCGTAGCGCCCCAGCTGCGTTAATTTCATTTAACGTTATAGCAACCGATGAAAAACAAAACTCGCAATGATTTGTATAAACTGACGTTTGGTAAACTCATCGTTAAAAGTATTATTTCAAAAGTATTTTTAGTAGTAAGAAAAGGGAAAAAAATCCTACTTCAACATCCTCTGTCTCCGAAACGATGCGATTTAGGAAACAAGTTTATATGATGAATGATCATTGTTTTAGCCTGTTCTATCGTTTACTAAAGTTATCCAGATTAAACCTGAATCACCCTGTATAAAACATAAGAGGCAAAATTAATGACATAATTTCAAAAGTTGATCTACCTGACTAATAAAAGGATAGGCAGCCAAATATACACATGAATTAAAGACTGGAAAAAATGTAGGGATTTTATTTTCTATTTATTGCCTACATTGCGTACAGAAAACAAATCTCGTGCTTTTTCGCTAATTAATTTAATTGTGATAAATGTCAAAATTTTGTGGGAGGTTAGGAATCATTCAAGATATTTAAAAAACAATACAATAATAAGAATGTGATATCACAAATTATTAATATTTAATTTAACATTCGGTACATTCTTCTGTTTGCAAAATGTCTTCAAACGTTGAGGTAGAGCCAGGTGCGGCTACAGAAAGTGGTCTAGTAACTACGGACTCTTTTGAAAATTTTGAACAAATGAGCTCTAGTTTAGAAGAGATCAAGAATACTAATGCTATTTCCCATAGTGAAGAATCTAATGATAATACTCACAGTGATAATTATGAGGAAAGCACGAACACGGTAGAAGGCTCAGAAGACGATGATTATTTTGAACACAATAAAGAATGGACTAGTAAAAATAAACATGTATTTGTTTTAAGTTTAGCAGGGAAACCTATTTATTCAAGGTAAGGACAATATATCTGCTACAGTTTTAATTAGTATTGATATTTAGTAGCTTCTGATGCTGGTAAAATATTTTCATTGAAAATAAATAACTCATTTTTAGGTATGGAAATGAGGATAAATTAGCATGGTTATTTGGAGTAATGCAAACTTTAGTTAGTTTTGTTCAATCAAGCGATGACTGTATAAAAAGTATTCATGTGGGAGATACGAATTTTGTATTTCTAGTCAAAAAACCCTTAATATTAGTAATTGTTTCAAAGACAAAAGAAAGTGTCCAACAACTTACATCTCAATTAAAGTGAGTACCTATTAAGATAGAAATTGTGTTGGTATTAGTGAATAATAACATTTCTTTTAGTTATGTATTTAATCAAATAACAAGTATCTTAACATTGACACGATTAAGTAAAATATATGAACAAAGGCAGAACTATGATCTAAGGAGATTGTTATCTGGTGTAGAAAGGCTGATCGACCACCTCTTAAATTTCTCAGAAACGGAACCTTCCTTCTTTTTAGGTGCTGTACAGTGTCTTCCCCTTGCTTCTTCTGTGAGAGATTCAATAAGTTCTGCTATCGTTGGTGCATGCAACAAAATTAAGGTACAAATTTTTTATATTTATGATCTGCGTTTTACAATTCTTATATATAGGTATCAAAAATAAGTTATATTGCTAAAGGATTACATTGAATGTGTCTTTACTATCGTTTCTTAATTTGATTGATTAATAATCAACCTTGACCTAAATTTTACTGTTTTCTTACGCCACAGATGTCTGGTACATGTATTAGGCATTGGCTTTATAAGCTACACTATAAGTTTGAGTAAGAGCCTTGCCCACAAATTTTGTCATTTTTTGATCAGTCTGCAAATTATGCATTATTATTATTATTATTATTATTATTTATTTTATTTTTATTATACTATTATAGTTTAAGTAACAAATTGTTATTTTGAGTCATACTTTCCTAGATCTGAGGGAATCTGTGACTGTGCTGCCCCCTGTTTGTGAATGGCATAATTTCCCTTAAAACTGGACAGTGCCAATAATTAGACGGACCCGCTTGTTTATTTAATTTAATGCCGTAGGTTCTATAGATAAAAGAATAATGCAATATAAGTCCTAAGTTTCAATAAAGAGCTTAAAGTTTCCCCGTGTGTTTTGGCAACAGGAATGAATACCTACGATTACTATAGCTTTCACAAACATTTGTAGATATTAAAAAGAAAGAAAGCATTCTTTGTACTTTCCAGTTGTAACTGTTCAAGACATCCATCCCCACATTTTAAATGAGCGTATCAGTTGTCTAGATGCTGGAAAATTCGCGGTTATCTTCCTTATTCCATATTCTAATCAACTGACAACTGGAAACAAATGATAACAATTTTACAGCTCAACTCCTGCTAAAACAACAGAATCACAATTACTCACAATTTACAAATGATTCACAGTTGTTTATTGTTTATATGAATTGATTACCAGATATGGAGTTACGCATAAGTAAAAACATCACAAATGATATCTTATTATCGTATTTTTGCACAAAATAAGTTGATTGTGGATGAGATATAAGTTACAAAGAGAACTACATCTTTGCATACTAAAAGTTCAAAATTGGTCTGTCTAGTGGTTCTACTGACAAATGATGTAATTATAATAATTTAATGCTGGTCATGGTATTAGTCCATAGAGTAGTTGTTTGCAGCAACATTATTAGTTAAAATTTTAGCTATTACTGCAATGGGGTATTTTCCAACTTTTTAATTACATCACAAAATAAAAACATTACACAATATAGGATCTATATTTTTCTTTTCTAATTTTGGCTTCAATTTATCTTTTAAAAATTAATTAAATGCATTGTGACATTAAATCCAGCACAAAATGTAGCAATCTTTCAGAATATTTTAATCTATTGGCCAGCATTATTAGATAAAGTATAGCATATAAAACCAATGTCAGCATCACTGTTTTAAAAAAAATAGAATAAAACGCCGCTTTATATATAAAAATATTTGGACAACATAGGCGTACTCAAAAAAAGGGTCCATGGGTACTGCAACCCCCCTCCCCTCCATATTTTAATCCAAAATTACACAAAAGTGTGCCGACAACATAAAAATATGTGCTAAATTTCAAATGAATCTACAATCACCAGAATTATCAATAAAAATCATTTTTAAAATTTAAATTTTGACACCCTATATTTTGAAACACCCTGTATATTAACTCTTTGACAATCTGTATATTATTATGTTTTTAGAATTTGGTTTTTGCCATATTATTAGCCAACAATAAACTGATAACTCTGGTCCGCATGAAGAAATATTGCTTACATCCCGCAGACCTACACTTAATATTCAACTTAGTACAAGCTTCGGAGAGCCTAAAGAACTCCGAAAGTTGGACGCCACTTTGTTTGCCACGTTTCGATCCGAGCGGATTCCTTTACGGTCATGTTTCCTACCTCTCCGAAGACTGTCAAGCCTGTTTGCTTCTTCTAACAGTGGAAAGGGACGTGTTTTTCGTTTTAAGCGAAGCTAAGCAACGTATCGTCGAGAAACTCCGAAGGGGGAATTGCTTGGAAGCGATCAACGAATCTTTGATTACGAAGGAAGAAACCTGTTTTACTGCGGGATTCCCTGAGATCAGGCATTACTTGTACAAATGTAAATCCACGGCACAGTTCTATCAGCCTTGCCTGAGCCCTCCGTATACCCAAACAAGGCAGCATTTAATAGACGTTTATAAGAGAGCACATCAAAGACTTCATTGCCCGACTAGGCCTTTGAAGTTGGTTTTTGAAAGAAGTTCCGAAGAAGCCATTTTAGCATGGGACACAAAAGGTTTTGAATTGTATGTTGTTTTTGAGCCTTTGATAACCACAAATAATGTGATCGATATGGTAGGACGGTTGTTGAACTGGATAAAAAAACGGGAGGAAAAATTGTTCCATTTAAATGCACCTACATTTTAAATTATTTCTGCTTCACGCAATGTGTAAAATAGAATGTACATTTTCTGTGTAAAAAAAATATTTTAGATACTTATAATTGAGTAAGCCTTCAAGAACTGATTAATAAAATTTGTGGTAAGGATTCATTTAAATCTTGTAACTGTTAAGTGCTTTTGGGTTATTGATAATGGTGTATTGGATCATTTTTCTAGTTCAATAAAACCCTCAAACAGTAGTAAAATTAGTACAAAAGGGCATACAAAAATTTGATTTATAAGAAACCTTTAGAGCATTTGCATACAGGGTGTTCTATTTAAAACTCTCCAGCCTGTATCCCAAAATCTAAAAGGGATAGTGAAGTTCTGTAAAAAAATGTTGTGTAATACTCTTTGAAACAGTTAAATACAAAAAATTTTACTTCAAATTTGAGAAAATGTGTTTCTTAAACAATGTCCATTGTTCACTACAGATGTACCGAAACCTACATAAAATATACAGTGTCGTTCGTAGTGTTCTGTGAAATGTTCAGGTTAGAATTTTGAAAAAATTTTTCTCAAACTAGGTTTGACTGTACAAAAATAACCTCAGATTCGTGTTCAGCACCTTCGAAATAAGCAGTAGGATGACAATTTGGGAAGGTGACAAAATGGTAAATAATAATAGGTGCTTCAAAAAGACGTTTTTCTATTGAAACGATTAAATTCTGTACTGGTTTATTTGAAACCTTTTTTATCCCGATTTTGGTTAAATTGGTATTAAAACTTATTTTATCCAGATTTGTGTCTGACCATATACTTTTAATTTATCTAAGTTATATACACTATGATTTGAAAGGATATACAGTTGAGTGAATGGCAAAAATTTGGTTATGTTTATATCTTCAGCTCATGACGTCATTGTTGTTTAAGAGCTAAAGTAACAGCGATTTTTTTAATAGCTGCATGAAAATCGCAATGTGGTACATAAGAAAATTTTCAAGAAGAGAAATAGTATTAAACTTATAAGCAGGTCAACAGAAATTTCGTCAAAATTGTAGAATTTTTTATTAAGTTAATTGCATAAAAATAACCATCATCTGATTGTCAACAGTATCTCAGTCTATCCACAAATTCCTGTTACACTTATACTCTCTTATTCTATCTGATATCTTATTTTCTCTTCTAATAAATTAAAATTACATTTTCTTATATAACTGACTTTTAATATCACCTAGGCCATACCCACACTTTTTTGATCTATCACCTTTGACTTATTTAAATATTCCTGGACTGGTATAGCAAAGAGCGGTAGGGCTTCATCTTGATATCACAGGGTGTTACTAGGGATATCAGGATCATAATGTTGCCTCCGCATCTAAAATCTTGACACACATGTACTACATATTTTTTTACAAAACTTATATATCTTGGTTTTGTGAGACATCAGGTTGTGAAGTTTTAAATAGAGCACAGCGTAAAGTTGTTGTGAAATAACCTATATACATGAGTATTTAACAAAAACAGAAACCCTACCCCCATCAATGGACTTCATATTTCCAAACAAGAGTTGTGACTACAATTAAAGAAGTGCTGTGGCTCTAAATATATGTTTTTAATAGAAGCATTAAATATATTAATTTAATAAGTACATATACAGGTTATAGCAAAAGTATGGCAGAATAACTCGGTGGGAGAGCATTTTAGAGAAAAAATTTTAAATACAAAAGTTTCAGGATTTCTCCCTAGCTATCCGATGGTGACCTTGACATTGATCTTGAAGATCATTTCAAGGTCAAATATGATTTTTCAAATGGGACCCTATATTTTTGACTCCAGAAATGAAAAGAACGGAAAATTTTACGTTCAGATGACCTTGAGTGACCCCTCCCTTTTGACCTTGGGGCCCCCATAAGGTCAAACTAACAAAAGTACAGGAACGGCAGAATAACTCGGCGGGAGAGCATTTTAGAGAAAAATGTTAGATACAAAGTTTCAGGATTTCTACTTGGCTATCCGATGGTGACCTTGACATTGACCTTGAAGATCATTTCAAGGTCAAATGTGATTTTTCAAAAGAGACCCTATACTTCGACCCCAGAAATGAAAATTGCGGAAAATTTTGAAATTGCGAAAACCTGAAGGTAAGGTTTAGTGAACCCGGCCAATGAAGGCAAAGTTTAGTGAACCCAGCCAATTAAGGCAAGGTTTAGTGAACTTGGCCAATGAAGGCAAGGTGTAGTGAACCCGGCCAATGAAGGCACATGAAGGAACATTTTTCTCTCCTGCCGAGTTATTCTGCCGTTCCCGTACTTTTAGTAGTTAAAATTTTCCGCTCTTCATTTCTGGGGTCAACAGTATAGGGTCCCATTTGAAAAATCACATTTGACCTTGAAATGATCTTCAAAGTCAATGTCAAGGTCACCATCGGATAGCCAGGTCCATCCTGAAACTTTTGTATTTAACATTTTTCTCTAAAATGCTCTTCCGCCAGTTATTCTGCTGTTCCGGTACTTTTGCTATACTCTGCATGTATTTTTAAATTTTATTAGATTATTTATATATTATTAATTTTTTTAGATTTGTCCTTAATCAATTTATTTAAATGAAATACAAGTTGTTTGCCAATGTTTGACCTCTATTTATGGCACTAATCTGTTTATGGAATAAGATCTAAAATAAAACTGGTGGCGTTACATTTAAAAAAGCCAACTAAAGATAGATAATGTTTAGATTGTTGTATATTGTTATTGTTTTAATTTTGAATCGTGTTTTTATATAAGTTGTCTTCGGTATACTTAGGAATGAAAGTAAATATTGTATATTAGAATTATATGGAGGAGGATGAATGTTTCAATTACTGTTCATTAGGATAACTGGTTAATATAATCTGTGATAATCACAAAGCTGTATATAATCTGTTTTTAAGTCCACATTATAATATGGATGAAATAAATGTATTATGGTATATTCTTGTTTTATTGTCCACATAATTCGAATTCCAAACTGCAGTGTTTTGCAAAATAATTGACCACACTTAATTAAAGGTGGTGGTATAAAACTTCTGGGGTTTTAGTGACGCTGACTTCCGGAATCTCCACAACTGGTAGACCAAATTGGGTGGATTCTTACCAATAATAGATAAATCATTAGAGTTTGATCACTATGTACCTTACATCTTCAGAGATATTTTAGAAAGCGAATTCTATCTTTAAATCTGAATGGTCTCTAAATATTTCCTTATTTTGACCTTCTGGAGTCAAATTTAATATTAAAACACCTTACATAACTACATTTCAACTTCACATAATTTTGTTTCCAATTTGTTATAATTACAAAGAGTAAGAAAGTAAAAAATGTCGGGTAGTTTTATATTCTGCAAAATTAATTATAAAAAACTTGACAAAAAAAATTCAAACGTTTATCGTCTCTTACGATCCTCATCTCTCTTCTTATCTCTCTTGTCTCTATCCTTCTCCCTTCTGTCCTTATCTCTTCTCTCTTTGTCCCGATCTTTATCGCGGTCCTTCTCTCGATCCTTGTCTCTTTCTCTATCACGATCTTTATCTTTTTTATGCCTATCTTTCTCTCTGCTTCGTTGCCTTTCCCTAGATTTACTTCTATCTCTCTTGCGCTCTCTCTTTTCTTTTTCTTTCTCTTTTTTTACGTCTTCTAAGTCATATTTTGTGTCGTCTTCCATTTCTATGTCTTCATCTAAGTCATCCTCTAAGGCTGACACCTTTGCTTCCAGCTCATTATTTTCTTCCAAAACAAAACGTTTCTGAACACGTGGCAATATAACGTCACACACCTAAAAATAATTGGTCGTTATTTATAGTTTTTTCCTGTTTTGTTTATTACTTACCCTCTCTTCTCTTAACAATTCATCGATGAATTCATCCATATGAATTAATTCAAACTGAGCCTGACGGTTCTGTCTGCGTAATTTTCTATTATCGTTATACAGAGGTTCTAAATATTTATAACAGTCAAGGGAAGAACCTGTTAGTCTCATATAAAATGCACCAAGAGCTCTAACATATTTAAATTCTTCATTTTTTATAAACTCTACTACTATATCCTTTTCAGGCTGTATTTGCAGCATTTTTAGAGTCAAACATAAAAATGGAGTTGGTTTTATATTACCTCCAAAAACACCTCCAACAAAACGTAATTCCATGGCTTTGTCCACTAGAAGTTCCGCAGTGAGGGCAAAACATTCTTCCTTCCAGTATTTGGAATCATATATACGAGAACGTATAATTTTTTCAACTAAATACTGAGGATTAGTTCCATGAATGGATTTAGCATCTTTTACGGTTCTGTTCGCCATTATATGTAGGCTCTTATTAAAAAATTATCACCACCATTCAGAAAATAATACATTAAACATAAATACATACAATAATGTTGATATTTAACACTTAATTGGATAGTTGTTAAATAAAGTTGGGTTAATGGTCAATGTCAATTGTCATTACAATTTGTTATGTTGGCAACTTTCTTCTTCTTCTTTCCTTTTATGGCCTTCGATCCGTGGATATTTTAGCGAGCTGTTATTTCCATAGATATATGGTTGGTTTATAAAAAAGTATTAGTCCTAACTTAGTCTTAGTATTAACCTTAATCTTAGTCCTAATAAGTTAAATGTACAGAATGTAATGTATCGGTTTATAAAAATCCCTAGTCGTAAGGTCTTAAGACATGACCTTGAAAGTTCGCATCTTTTAATTTTTCTAGGATTAAGACTAAGATCTGAGAAGTGCGCATGCACAAGTATTGCATTTCGTAGCATAGTGACCTCATGTCTTTGTCTATGGTGGTCGCCATTACGCCATTACCATAGTAATAGGTTATATTTTTCTTTTCACTCACCAACAAAACAAATAAAATAAAACATTACCACATAATAACAAACAAGTATTATGCTGCGATATTACTAGCCATGCGCGTAGTCGAATCGCTCATTGGTTAATCTTAATAAAATTAGGACCACACATTGTTTTTATAAACGTGTACCTATTCTTAGGGCTAATACTAAGATTAGTGTAAAGGTTAATACTAAGACTAAGACTAAGTTAGGACTAATACTTTTTTATAAACCAACCATAAGTAGTATATGCATATGGATGGATGGAGGCAAAGCCCACTTTTTGCGCATTTTAGTTGTTGCAACATTAACGGCGAAAGCGGCAACGATTTGCTCTTATTCACGTGACCTAGGATAAAATCGCGCTACATTGATTTAAAAAGCAACTCTATTTCTGATTAGGAAATTATTATTTTTTATATAGTAACAATAAAAAAAATACTGTCAAATGTATGTGTCAAATTCGTAATAATACTTAATACCACGTAATGGATATAACCACAAAACATATAATACGATATAACTACAGCACTACATCTAGTACCATAGAAATAAAAATAGAACGTGATAAGTCTGAAAGTGCCATATTAAGTCACGTGACCCTACACTAGATTCATCCCACTTTACATGTGGTCCCCTGCCCTTTCCCTCTACATTCCATCCCCATAATACTATATTAGACCTATGGTTATTTCCTTCGATGTAGAGGGTGAGTCAAAAAGAATGGGTCAAGAGTCAACACTAAGCTGAAGATACTAGACACCAAAATATTATGTTTGAGCTCATCATACCTTATACCTTATACGAATATCGCTGGTTTAAGAAATGCAGGGTGTTCAAGCAGATTTAAATTTTATTCTGAAATTTCTCAATATTGAGAGTTTTGATAGTATATATGACTGAAAATTGGTAGCATCTAGGTTTTTTGGTGTCAGAATTACGAATTTGAAGCTTATTTTGACGTTAATCCTAGCAGAGGACGCTAGTTTGATCGTATTATTTAGGTAAATCAAAACTATTTTTTTATCTGTTACCCAATCCAACGGATGGAGTGTTACAAGGCGAAGAGAAAGATAGCTCCTATGAAGGTACATGGTATCTCTGTCTCTCCGAATGTGACTGTTCCTGTCACGTTAAAAAGTATTATGGAATAGATCACCATCCCAATTGTAAAGCTTTAAACGATACCTATACCTACATAAAAGCAAAATCCATTTTAAAAATATATATTTCATACTCTCAAACATAGTGTAACAATATTAAATATGTGCAATTTCCGGGAAAGTATTTATAACAACTCTTTTTTTATCGGTATTCATATTTCGTTTATTGCGTAGACGTTGAGGCGTTTTCAGAAGAGGTTTTCTCTGAGGCACTAAAAAATTAAATAATAAATGTAATAAATGAAGTCGAAAATTAGATGTTTCTTACGAGTTTTCCATGCGATATAGACAGCATCGGTTTCATCAAATACTGACAAATCTTGGGATAACCGACATTTAGAATTTCTGAGGATAGAGGCAGAAACTGCCTTTTGAAGTGGTGGAGGGTAGTTTTTGGGCAAGCCTAAAATAATATGGGAAAGATTAAAAAATATACCTACTCAAATTATATTTGCATTTAATGGTTCTTACTTGGGACAATGTCGGCTATATTAATATTCTGTCTAGACCCGTGTATAAGTTTTTCTTCCTCGAATCTCCTAATAAAATTTCTGGTAACGGCAGACACGGTTTTAGCATCTAAAGAGTCTGAAACATTATTAATAATCAGTACCCTCTAACTGACCTCAATTAAAGTTAACATAACTCAATTATAAATACATACTACCGGAATAAATTCTACCAAATAAATAAAACAATTTACCTAAATAGACAGAATTAGCAATGATATCTTCTCGGTATCGGTGACGTTTCGTGATTGGATTTCCAATAAAAGTTGCCTCTCTCAAGTGGTACCAATCTCGAACTGTCTGACATATATCTTTTATGTCCTCGAAATCATTGAATGATGCATCTATGATCACCAAATTTTTCAATGGAGACAAATATGAAAGCGAAGTTAGGTTATTGTGGGAGATATTCAAAACACATAAGCTTTCCTAAAAAGAAAACGTACCTACTCTTATAAAATTTACACGTTATTAGCAATCACTGGTTTACTGGTTAGCAACTTACCGATAATGAAAATATGGTTCTTGGGTCCAAAAATAGAGGAGTGTTGTCAGGCAAACACTGTTTTTCAATATGCAATTCTTCTACATTTTTTAAAGTTTCAAGTCCTTCTAGAACGCTTATTTTATTACGGCCAATATACAGTTTCCTCAATTTTACCAAACCTTCTAAATTTTCAATTTTTTCTATTTTATTATTTTGTAAGTAAAGGCTTGTCAAGTTCGGGAAAAAGTTTAGGTTCTCGATGTTTTCAATTTCATTGCTGTATAGATATATCACTGCTAAGTCCTTGGAGAAGGACAATTTTGGCTAAAATATAAAATGTTAATGTCTTGTATGTGCAATAATATACCAGTTTATTACGATTTTTTTCAATAACTTCTCCTGCATGTACAAATGAGAACACTTCCCAGGTAGGCCGTTTTTTGAATTAGTCTTATTTTTAGCGACTTTCGTCGATTGCTTTTTGTTATTACCAGACTCCATTTATAAGTTCTAGGTAAAATGTGGGTACTTTTGTAAAATTTTAACTGTCATCGCTTCTGTCAAATAACTGCTAGAGCTGGCTTCTATTTGCTTAATTAGAAACATTATGTTGCTTAGCGATATTTACGTAAATAATTTAATCAATAAGAATGTTGCCAAGTGTTACTAAGGCAGGTTGAGTATGAAAAATGTATAAAATGAAAAGGTATATAAAAGATAAGTACAGGGCCATTTTGACACACTGATCATAAGAGTTTCAGCAGCTATTACTTTTTTAAGAAAAAACAGTGGTAAATACAAAAACTTTCAGGAAACAAAAAAAAATGAACATTGCGTATAAAAGTATGATCCAAGATTATGTTTTTGAGTGCATACATTTTTATGTATCTCTATTAATATGGGCGATACGCCCAAAAATACCATATGTCTAGTCTAGGTGCTGGACCAAAAAAATTTGATTTACTAGTAACGAGTATTTAAATCTTATATCCATCTTACATATTTATAGCAAGACTCATCAGCTTCTAAGGGTATATTGTTGTAAACCTCAGAAATCGTTTTGACAAAATTTAAAAAATATGTGATCTGTTTTTCTTCTCTGTTTATGTAGGTATGTATTTGTATTTTGTCATTTGTGAAAAATTTAAAAAAATTATTAGTCGAGTTATTTTATGAAATTATGTTTACGGCAAAAATCACACTCGAAAAATGTAGACAAATTAAAAATGCAAAAATTATAGGTCACTATAATCACACACTTTATAAAAAGAAAAACAGTCCATTCGAAAACAGTGTTTCCATTCTCAAACCTAGGAATGACGTTTAGTTTTGAAATGTTTGACAGTTTGAATTTTATCTGCTTCCATAGCTTAGACTTCTATAGTCTAAAAAGTCATAAAAAAAATTAAAATGGGTTATTCTGATGACGAAAAATAAAACATAACTAAACTGTATTATTCAAATAACAACAATGTGCAAAAGTTCTTCAGGAATATCGGCAAATTTATTTTGGAGGACGAATCCCAACAACGAACACTGTAAAAATTTTTATTAAAAACCTTAGGTGGCCAGAAAACAGCCCCGATCTCAGTCTTTTAGACATATTTTTGTGGGGACACTTCAACGAAATATATTATTAAAGAAGTTTACAAGTATTGAAAGAAAAAGTACAGGATATTATATATTTGATAATTTTGAATTTGTTCTTAAAGGAATAAATAGTAAATTAAAACATATTTTCAAATATATCATCACAATTACTTGCATGTTGAAAATTTGTAAAAATTGTAGGTATTTTAATGTTATTTTGTTTTTAGGTATTCTTATGTTGTAAAGGTTAGTTATAAAAATCGTTGTTTGTTATTGCAATAAGGATGAATTTGAATTTTTTTAATGATTTTTTATCTTAAACATGTACTTTATGCCAGCAAATTTTGATGTCAAAAGAAATAAAGGAAAAGTCGTACTTTTGTATTTAAAGTTTTTTCTACATTTAATTATTAAGAATCAATGTCAAAAAACCCTGTAACTTCATTCCGCGACGTACTAATAACCCACCTTGTATATTAAATAAATTTATCATCATCATCAAATATTAAAAATATGTATATCATAAGCTATTTAAAATATCATTACGAATTTTGTTTATTTGGAAATACCTACATATATTTTCTGCAGTATATCAATACCAAAAAATTAAAATAGTAGCTAATTAACGAAATTACGATGAAATATAACCTAATGTGACATCACTGCAGAATATCATATGAAACTACATAAATATTCGTTGATTCTTTAAAACATTTTTATCAATACCTACATAATACATTTAAGTAAATACAGTAACACAAAAAACAGATATTGATAAAAAAGTGTACAAAATAAATCCGTAAGTATGCCTGGCAACAGTGCTAAAGTGTTGTTTATATGTTGCTAGGGTACGCGTAGGAATGCGGGCCGCTGCATTTGATGCTTCCTAAAATTCTGCTGGTGGTGTCGGCAATTTGGAAATTTAAAACTGCTGGCCTACTCCAGTAGCGGTCTGGGGCGATAGCTATTTTGTCTGTGCTAAAACTAAACTAAAGTCTTAAGAGGTCATATGGTCTTAGTTGTTGAAAATATTGAAATGAGAGTTTCTCTTTTACTGTTTTAATTCTTTTTTTATTTCGTATACCTGTTGCTTTTAAAAGGTTGGACATTTTATTAGGCGAAAGGAATTTTGATTGGGCTCCACAGCCTAGACGTATGTTTATGTAATTGAACAATTTGAAGTACAGTTTCCATCGTTTCTTTCCTTCTTCTTTCAAACTGACAATTAAAGAGCAGCGGGGAGGCGGGAAAATGTATCGGAATAAAGAAAACAACACACTTAAAAGCAAATATGTTTAACACACAAATTAGACTACCTGTACAAATTATAGGACTTCATATACATAGTTATATAACAAGGTGAATTTTACACTGGACCGATTAGTACCTACTATGATGCAAATATAAAAACGGGGCAAGGGAAAAAATTGATCTCGCAGCGAAAGGGAAGCCGGAGGGCTCATTCTACAGCTAAATGATATGATGACAGTGCTTGTTTTTAATTCATTCCAATTAAGTCCGTTGGTTTAAAAGAAAAGTTTGCATTAGCACGGTAGATAGTGTGTTTACGTTTTAGGCTCCATCAACGTTTTCCCCCGCAGAAGTATACAAAAGAAATGAAAAGATATAAAAGCTCAATCCTTATCCTTATTATTCTTGACTATCTACAATCCTAACACAAATCCTTAGAGATCCTCCCAAGTAGAATCGAGAAGATGATACACACAACTATTTTTAGTAGGATAATATCTAAAAGACACGGTGATACAACCAAGGCCTTGCCTAGTGTATACCTCTCACCGGTTTTCTTCTATAGACCTGTACGATATAAAATTCAATTAAGGCACTATAGTTGTTATGACCGCATCTTCTGACACCCTTAATAGCTCATAGTAGTCAGCCTTATGTTTAACCTTTGAAATCACACATTTAGCACATAAATGTCAGTGAAGATAGGTAAGTGTTTTAAATAGAAACATTCCACAATCCGCTAAAAAACTAGGCCCCACTTGATTACCCACGGACTTGGTCTCCATTTGATTTTTTGCGCTATAATTATTCATATTGACTTCTAGTTTTGTGTTGAGTTTTGTGTCGTGGCAAGTCCAGTCGGCTTCATGCTTCGCATTCTCCTATGTTATGCCCTATGTCTGAGTGATTGATGAGTTGCAGGTGATAGTCGGTGTTGATGACGAGGTCCGCCACGCAGCCCTTGATGCCGTTCTTGTATCTCGTAAGGGCCCTTAAGGGTGCCACGGACATGCCTCCCACGTATAGGCCTTCGTCCTCTGGGTGCGTTATAGGTCTTTGGGATATCTCGACAGATTGTCTGGTGATGGCTGCACCGTTGTCCACGATCAAAAGGCCGGATGATCCGTCTCTAAAATAGAAATTAGCTTGAGTAAGGCACCTGTTTAAATTAAGGCGACGTCCCTAATAAAGACTTGATGTAACCATTCTAAGACGACGGTTTTAATAATATAAATGTTGTGTTTAGCGAATATTACTCTAGTAGTACTTTGTTTATACATTTATATTGTTATTTGCTTCATGATGTTTCTAGAATATAAGTATTCTATTTCTTTCTTTCATGTATTTAAAAGCTCAGATTTCGAGAAACAACAGAAAATATGTAAACGACGCGAAATTAGGTTACAATTATGTTATTGTGATGAGTGGAAACAATTTGTCAAAGTTTTTGAGCTGTTGTGCTACATGATGGGAATTTGGTTTTGGTACAAATTAGTGTCAGAAGCGAGAATCTGGGGATTATTAGTTTGAGGAGACAGTGAATCGAGTACAAGATCTAAAGTAACAGAAATTGAGCAGAACAGCTTATGGAAATCATAGTTGCGCCGCAAACACGACAGAATGAATTAGGGTATGATTTAAAGACATGATAGGATGCATTAATTAATTAATTCTAATGGCCTACCTCCTATGAGTAGAAAGGACAAAATCGCATTTTGAAAGTTGTGAATTGGACATGACTGCATTACACCTAGCTATCTAATGGATGATACTATTCCTCTATTTTGTGTTTCTTGCATTCTTTATAGTGAAACACTTTCTCTCAGAATGTCATCTAGATGCTGAGGTACGTCAACTACACAATCTCAAAATAGTTTTCAAAGAAGATCTTAACTCGATTAATAACACAGCTCCACAACCCCAAAGTGAAGAATTTGATTGGGTTTTGAGGAGCAAAGAGAAATAATTCACCAAGTTATTAAGGAAATGGAGCGTGGGTACCCAGGCAGTTGGGATATAAGCATGTTAGCCGTCGTTAAAACGAGATATACCATTGAAATCGAGAAAACGTAAAGGAAATCCACTTCACAAATCTATTGACAGCAAAATAGTTCGATACCATAAAAGTGAGTAGTAGTTTCGATATATAATAGTGAGATATAGTGATTTCATATGATTCATCAATGCAAAAAACCTCTTATCTTGAAAATCTGTTCTCAAAAATCTCAATCGACACGGATTCACTGTGTAAATTTATGTACATGAAACATTAATGGATACATTAGTTTAAAATTTACTTAGTTAGGCTTATGCTTAACTAGAATATTCTAAGTTTAGACCTAGAGTGTATTTAGCAGACCTGATCAGGTCAAACGGGCCTCGGATTCCAATTCAGCAACCCCAGAAACGTATCGATATGTAGGTTTACTTTGTTAACAATTGATTCTCTACATTTGACACTGAATTTACCTTAACTCAGACCGCGTCAAACAGATATCAACATCGGATTTAGCCACCTCAAAAACATATAGATACCATAGTTTTGTCTTTCGGACCTTCCACTTTTTTTGTGTAAGGCCATTATTATGACTTAATTAACTACATATACCGTAAAATATTTTGACCCGTTGAATCTGAATTGAAAGGCAATCTGCCTCTAGGATCAGTTCGTGTTTCACCCTAACATGAAGAAACTCTTGTAGAAGACAGTTTTTAAGATTTCAAATTGACTTAAGGAATCAGTGATTGGAAAAACATTGAAGTTCATTATCTCATTACACTATAACCTCAAAAACTTATGACTCCACAACTCTGTAACTCCGTAACCTATTATTTTGAACGATTTTGATCGCAAATACGACCACTGATAGTCAATTAAGTACTATTACGTTTTTTTCAGTGTAGATTCAAAGAGAAAAATCAAAACCCCAGGGTAACCTGAAGATTTGATGCAAACGCTGGGAATAGGGTGTTGGCCTGCTGAATGGAATAAAATAAAATAAAATGTGTTGATATATTTAAAACCGAACCGTCTTTAAATTTTGATTTCGAATTCCCATTAACAAAATACTAACTAATACTCCTACCAAAATTGTTTTCTGTTGGATATACATAAGTACTAGTAACTATAAATTCTTAAAGTTTCCTATGGCTTTTGTTGGTGCGGCTATCTCATTTTCAGGTCGAAAAAAAAACTTTTGTACTTGTACTTGCTTGGGTCCTATTAAACTTACTTAACAGCTTTGACTCTATGCCAGAGTCCATCGTGGACGGTCGTACTGTTGTGCACCACGCGTATTTCCTCACCACGTTCCTGGACGCTATACCTCAGCACGAGTGCGCCTCCTTCGAGACCCAGAGAGAGGAAGCTCTCTCCTGCAGAGGCGTAAAGTAGAAGGCCGGATTCGGAGGAGAGCTTGAAGCGGACGTTTACCACCAAGGGGTCCGAGGAGATGACGTCCAAGGTGGAGGCGTCGTTCAAGCGCAGGTAGCTGTCGACGCCGTGGAAGGACGGCGGGCCTCTAGAACACAGGTGGTCTCTATATCCCGGTTTACACCTAATAGGAGAAAAAAAAATCATTAACGATAATTAACATCTCGGCAAATATGAGCTACTCTTCTAAATGTTAGTTGAATATTAGGGCAATAATGTATTGCTAAAATAGACCTGTTACAATTTGAAGCATAAATCCTAATAAGAATTCAAAGTTTCCTCGCTACCTTACCCCAGAAAAAATATAAGTTTCCCATTTTAAGTCTTTGGAGGTAATAGTATCCAGATCACACCAGCAAGATACAGAGTTTGATTGATGATTTTCAGTGAAGAATCATCATCGGTCATTTATTTACTAGTATATAATTTAAACAACCAGGCAAAGCACCATTCTGTAAAACATTTAAATCTTTCCGAATTTTATTTTATACTATTAGTGGATTCCCATAAAATTTTGTATACAGGGTTTTTAAAAAGTTTGGAATCTCCCCTCTATCTCAGAAAATACTGATCAAACAAAAAAATGATTAGGACAAAAGTTGCAGGGTTTTGAGTGGCCAATCCAACGATGGCCTTGATTATGACCTTGACGGTCATTTAGAGGTCAGGTTGAAAATTTTAAATGGAACCGTATACTTTTGACCCCGGAAATGGTAAGAACGGCACGTTAGAATGTGACCTTCATCGTGACCTTGACCTTCAAGGTCATTTAGAGGTCAAGCTGAAAATTTTAAATGGAACCGTATATTTTTGACCCTGGAAATGGAAAAAAATGGAAATTTTTAAGTTCGAACATGACCTTGACCATGACCTCAAGGTCATTTATAGGTGAAATTGAAAATTTTAAAAGGAACCGTATACTTTTAATCCCGGAAATGAAAAGAGCGAAAAATTTTACGTTCCGATGTGACCATGTGACCTTGACCATGTGACCTTGACCATGACCTTGAGGTCATGGTAGTTTCAAGGTCATAATATTTCCAACAGCCTGTCTCCGAAGGTAAAATATACTCGGGGTTTTCGGGGTCACCCTTTCTATTACTGGAGGCAAATGTAAGAGTTCCCGTTTTAAAAACCATTCTAACCTTAAAATTTTGTTGAAATGTTATCGCTGTTTTTACTTTCGGAACAAAGGAAGAGGTCATAACAATATCACCATCCGATAGATAAGAAAATTTTTGCCGTTAAATTTTTTTCATAAGACCATTATTAAACCAAGTTCTTTGCTTACGTTTGACGTTACAGTTACCTTTAGGTCATGGTCAAAGACATGGTATAGGTCATTTTTCTCACTCAATTTGCGCAGTAAAGAATATCGTGTCATTTATTAAAAATCGACTTGACCTGTAAACGACCTTGAATATCATATCCGAACGTAATTTTTTTTCCGTTTCCGGGGTCAAAAATATACGGTTCCATTTAAAATTTTCAGGTTGACCTCTAAATGACCTTGAGGGTCATGGTCAAGGTCACATTCTAACGTAAAATTTTCCGCTCTTACCATTTCCCGGGTCAAATGTATACGGTTCCATTTAAAATTTTAAACTTGACCTCTAAATGACCTTCAAGGTCATAGTCAAGGCCATCGTTGGATTGGCCACTCAAAACCCTGCAACTTTTGTCCTAATCATTTTTTTGTTTGAGCAGTATTTTCTGAGATAGAGGGGGGGTTCCAAACTTTTTGAAAACCCTGTATTGAAAGGCAGGCGCTAAAAGTCCTAGTTGCATACTAGAAATACATAAAAGAGGGCCTAGTACATAACCTTGAGGTACTCTACTCATAACAGGAGCGGAAGATAGACGAAATTTAGTACAGGAAAATATATTTTAGATATAAACTTCAATCTTGTCACCGTTTTCAAATTTTATAATAGTTTATATATTTTTTTCACCAATGATGGAAACTGCATATTATATGGAAGAATAGCTATCACTGTTCTAGACGAAATGTAGTATTATATTGATCGATAGAATAATTTAAGTCCCTTTTATAGATTTCTATGAACTTTATATTGTTCTTTCTTTCGTGCCGTTTAAATGAAAGAAAATATAATAAAAACAAGTACAGTTTTACATTTTTAAGATAAAGTTTAATATAATGCTTGGGAAAACATTTACATACCTACATTGTGTATAGATACATGAACATGATATGAAATTGAACAGCAGTTAACTTCGCAATATTATTACAAAGTGTACACGAAATATGATGATTGACGATTTTACACAAGATCATTTGATAATAAAATTGTTACATGTTTTCAGGAACATTTTTCCTTCATAAATTAGATATTTGAATAATTTTCTTATTCTTTGAATGGATTTTTTTTTCAAATTGCAATTTTGCTTTAAATTAACATTGACAATAAATTCGTAAATGTGCGCATAAGCCTGTGTAGTGGTGAAGTTAATATTTTATTAAAGGTTTGCGATTTACAGATTACAAATATTAGTAATTTTTAAGTAATATAGTAGGCCACCACCTTTGTTAAAAAGGTATTTTGCACTTTCCAAAACATTTATTTTGTCATGCTCATGCTTATCTATGACAGCAAAATATTTCTGTATTTACAGCAACGACTATTAGAATTTGTTTTTCTCCGTAGCCAGTTAGACATGGTGAATCATAAATGTGTACATCTATCTTGCGTGTATAATTCACAATGTAAATGAGTGCATTGAGAGTCATCGTTCAAAGTTACGAATTTTTAAGGAGACTTCATTTTTTTAAGCTGTCCATTCACATCTACATTTTGAGAGTCGCTGTCCACAAGGAATGTATCAAAATTTTGTACGCGTTTGATTGCCGAACTTATCTAGATTTTTCATATTATTCATATATTCTACGTCTGCATAAATCACTATAAATTGTATATATATATGGAATTATTTTAATAAACGTATTTGTAAACTTAACTTCTTCAAATCCTACTCTACTATAATCGGGATCAAATTTAAAAAAAATGTTTTAGTGATTTTTCCGAAACCTAATACCATAAAAATTAAAATGTAATAACTTCTGCTACAATTTCATTTCTTTCAATGCTTTTATTATTTTGTATTTTATTCATTTAATTCCTTATGAATTCTTTTAATGTTGAAAAAGTATATCCTTTTAATCATTGTTCCCTGGACGTTCCATTATAGGAGAATCATCACAACATGGAAGCTGCCGACATGCTGCTTTGTAATGTAATTCCCATTTTTACTGTTAGAACTTATTAATCAGAACAGTTTCCAAAAATTGACTGTAGTATGCTGATGAAGTTATAGTAGTATAAGCGTGGGGCATATTTCAAAAACAAATGTTTGGGTTGATCGGTCATTTCCAAAATACAATTTATTATTAAATGGTGGATTATTGAAACCTTTAAACTTTATGTTTCTATTTTTACGCATTTTCCTAACATTTATATTTAGCGATACTGTTTATTTTACTGCGACGTATTATGTGTTAACTCATTTATATTGATTTATATTAATTAATAAACTGAGTCCGGCATGCTCCCGAACTCTACGATCATTGTTTGTCTGACGGACGGTGTTTTCTTTTAAATAGCTGTAAGTATATTTGAGTAATTTTTAGTAAACTATGGTGTATTCAAGTGAAATATGGCAGTAAACTGCGAAATGATGAACAGCGAAATGGTCGATGTGTTAAAAACATTTTTGTGCCACAAAAAGTGCACATGCTACAAAAATTGAACATGTAAGAAAGTTTAAAGAAATATGGCAAAAGCTGCATAAATTTGGAATTGGTGTACGTTCATAGAAATAGTTCATATGAATGGCAAGTCCAGGAGAAAGCTATAAATAATTTTATGAAGATATTTCAAAGTTTCTGTAACATATTCTACAAAGATATTCATTTATTTAACATTTTGTTCTTTTCCTATAAAAAGTTGTTGTTTAAGAGTTCTGTGAAACATCGACAATATCGCATAATTAATCTGTATTTTGTGTACTGCCACAGTAAGTCAGCAGTTCCCAACAAGTTTTTTTAATTTAAAAATCAACCACATTTATTTCAAAATTGACTTTTTCCAAAAAAATTAAATGAGCTATTAATTGTCCACATTTTAGATTTACTCTGCATATGTAGGATGTAGGTACAACAGTGGCACCAGAGTCTGTTTAATAATATAAACTTCTCCTCCATTGCGCTGTTTCAGTCAGTTTCCACCTGCGGCAAATCACTACGGTATTTTTGACAAGTTGCCTCGATTCTTTAGATCATTGTATTGACATTTCTTGTAAATTACCACAAACGTCAAATATTTGTTAGGTTAGGTTAAGTATTAAGTATGTTATTTTTAAATTAAAAAACGTAATATAATGTGGTATTGTGTTTCCCACTGTGAGAGTAAAATAACAGATGATTATTATTAACGTGTCAACGTGTATTGATGCCGCTAATAAAAAAGCAATTATATACATAAATTAAGTATAGATAGATTTAGAATGAAATGTGAATATTTTCTGTAAACTACTGAACTGTCAAAATTAAATGTCAAAGATTGACATTTACGACCTAAGATTTGTGTTTCAAGAAAGTGACAGTTCAGTCGATTTGTCATGGCCAACGAGTTAATAATTACAGAATCCTTTTATTAATTTATTAAACAGCCTACGTGATTTAGCTGATTGTGGTAGTACACTGGTTTTTAGTCATGGGCAACTTCACCTCTTCTTTATTTAATTGGTTCTGAATTTATTTCTTTAATTTTGTCGACAGTAAATGTTTCTAAATTCTTATACGTTTTTAAATGGGGATTTTTTACCTGCAAGTGAAGTAGTCCAGTTCCGGTATGCACACCCCGTCCTCCCCGCAGGGCCTGGCAACGCAGGGATGGGGACAGTTGTCTACGTTAGCGCCACCTAGCGCCTCGGCTAGGATGGAGACGGTCCGACCGTTGATTTTTACTTTCTGAATACAGCCTATAAACGCCGTTCTCACCCTGATTTGCGGCGAGACGATGCCGAAGTTCGGGACGCCTCCCAGGTAGAGGTTTTGAGGTAGCGAGAGTTGGGTGAATGCGCCGGGAGAAAGGACTTCCTCGGGCAACTGGTTGTCTACTGTCAAGATGGCCAATCGGCCAGTCCGAGATATTCTCACCTGTGAAATTGAAACAAAAATGTCATTTGCTAGGCTATGAGAAAATATACAAAAAACTAACGAAAGAAATTAAGGAAAGCAATAATAAATTTGATATATTTTTAAGTACTCTGAGATACAAAATGCAAATGATTGACAAAACTTGTATTAAATAGTTTTCTCTTTTTTGGATATTTTGCATTACTATAAAAAAAAAATGTAAATTCAAAGTTAGTATCTAAATAAACCTATCCCACAATTATTAGTTAATAACTTATTTTTTCCATATACAGGGTATAACTAAAATACTTGTACAAACTTTAATAATATATACATTATATACATCACAAATCAACAAAAGGTTTAAGTTTTGATTGTCTACAAATGTAAGTACATAATACAGAGGTTTATTACATACAGGGACGTAATTCCAGATGTGGAATTTGCTTCCAATATTTTTTTACGAAGCTATTTCAAATTTGACTTGTTATTATGACAAGGTACTAGAGGCTTTATAAAAATGCGATTTCGAGATAAGTGATAAAATATTATGGTAGATTATATCTAGTTATTTATGAGAGTGCTGAAAAATCAAATTAGTTCTGAAATAAAAATAATAATTCTTCAAATGGTTACGTAACCCGTAAGTGATTTAAAGTATTATGTACATTACATCCCCTAATTACTTTTTTTACTTAAAATAAACCGAATATTTTCATTAATTTTGAGCATCCTATGTGTCTAAAACGAAGCATTTTCGGATATACAGGGTGTCCGCGTTTTTTATAGCAAGACTTTCACAACTTGTACTAAAAGTCCTTTAAAAAAAAAGTTCATGTAACCATATATGTATACATGCGTCGTTTTCGATTTACAGTGTTCAAGTTTAAAATGAGAATTGATTTTTTATTCGTAAAACGAAAACCCCTTTTTAGACTTTGTTGAAACTTGACAACTTTGTTTGTAATAATAATACTAATTTTCTCACATAATTTAATTTGTCCTATTTTCTCCAGTGGCGTCACAACAAGATACCAGCTTGATAAAAATAGAAAAAAATATGGTACGCCACTGCTTTTTGGTATGTTTGAAATTTTTCTCAGATTTAGCTATCAAAAATACAACTTTTTTATTATTTACTTTTTTCCTACCTCGCTTTGTTTAGACAGAAATAAAACTTTTTGTTTCGCACAGTTTATTGTAAGATAATAAAAAAATAAACAACACGGTATGGAAAATCAACTTATTGTATAAATAGATCTCAAAGGAACTGTTCGAAATGCCCGCCATTTGGTTCTACACACAAATTACAGCGACGTATCAAAGACCGCCTAACGTCTCTCAAATGATGTGGAGTTATTCTGAGAGCAGCGTTCCGGATTCATCGTACAAGTTCCTCTTGCGAGTTAACAGGTGTAGAGTAAACTGCATCCTTAATAAATCCCCAAACAAAAAAATCCAAAGGTGTTAGATCAGGCGATTGCGGAGGCCACCCAACTGGACCTCCACGATCCACCCATCTCTGTGGATACTCTGTATTCAGCCAGTTTCGTACCACCAAAGAGTACTGGGAAGGGCATCCATATAATTGAAAGAACGAGTATATTCTTTGTTGAAAAGGAACATCGTCTAGCATGTTATCATGCTGGGTAGTTAAAAATTCAATAAATAATTGACCGCTTAATCTATTGGGCAGGATGTAAGGTCCCAACAAAAAATCCTTGGCAACTCAAAAACAGATATATTCACGGCACACTTTGTAACAAGTAAATAAATAAATTAAGCAAATCTCGAACCTATTCATGAAAATGTTTTATTTCTGACTAAACAAAGCGAGATAGGAAAAAAATTAAATAACAAAAAAAGTTGTATTTTTGATAGATAAATCTGAGAAAAATTTCAAACTTACCAAAAAGCAGTGGCGTACCATATTTTTTTCTATTTTTATCAAGCTGGTATCGTGTTGTGACGCCACTGGAGAAAATAGGACAAATTAAATTATGTGAGAAAATGAGTATTATTATTATTACAAACAAAGTTAGGTAAAAAAGGGGTTTTCGTTTTACGAATAAAAAATCAATTTTCATTTTAACCTTGAACACTCTGTAAATCGAAAACGACGCATCTATACATATATGTATACATGAACTTTTATTTTAAAGGACTTAGCACAAGTTGTAAAAGTCCTGCTACAGAAAACGCGGACACCCTGTATTATTATAGAGAATGTTTTTGTTAATTTGTAGTGTGCAATACTCCATTAAAGTTTTGCCAAACATTTTAATTATATCCTGTATATATTGTTGATTGTTGACTTCACTATAAGAGACCACCATGGACAAATTTTTCATTTTTCATATTTTATACGTTTACTATTTATTACAGAGTTCGAAGTTGCACCGATATAAGGTTTGCAAATGTTTTAAATATTAATTATTGATTTTTAATTGAGTTACAGATAGAACAGATCCTAATGTGTTACTGGTTTGAAAAATAGTTCCAGTGTTAAATGTATTACCTTTTTTTTAAATTTATGTAACAGGCTTGTATGGAATTTTAGAGGTTTCTATCAGCGTTTGTTAAAAATTCTCCCAGATGATATAAGTATTTGAAAATAGATTACATACATCTCGCATCAAAAATTAACAATTAAAAAAATTGATTTTCTTGAGGACGACTATTCTTATTTTCATTATATTTTTTCCAATTACAGGTTAACCTTCTGTAAAATAGAATTTTAATTGGAATTTCGGTTATCAGTATATATAGGGGCAAGAGGGGTTAAGATTTTCAACGAAATATGAAACACCTCGTAAAATGCACCAGATGTAATAGCGAATGTTTAGTACATTCAAACTGAGGTCTTGTCTTTTCTAAACAATTAGTTCGTAAACAGTCAATTTTAAAAAAAACTATAACAAATTTACAATAAAAAAATTGTGCCAAGGGTAAAGAACAAAGTCAATAACAAAAAAAAAAAAGAAGAAAATTAATTAATACTTCTAATAACGACTTCGCACTGACGATGACGGTTCATACTCGAAACAGATGTTAATTTTTCTTCTTCAATGCTATTCAAAATTTCTCTGAGCATGTTGCTAGCGTTGTCAAAAAAGGTAGGTAGGGGTTAATGGATTCTTTGTTGTCTGTGTATTATGTTTAAGCAAAATAATACTCTCTCAACGGTAAAAAAAAGTATTTTTATTGAAAACAAAGTTAATGAAAAAGAAATATTGTTGGAGCGAGCGGTAGCTAAAGAGTCTTCGTGGTGTTGAGTCGCTCGTAGGTATAAGTATCTGGTCCCTGCTGCCAATCTGCCGTGGACCTTTTCATGGAACTTTGGTGCCTTCCGCGTCTGTTTTTTGTCCTTGCAACTATTAGACCAGTCCGGGCGGCGTTAGCTGGCGCTCTTGACGTAATACTTAAAATAGGTCAGCAGAGATAACGATGTGAATCAAAGAATGTTTAACTAATATTTGATTTAAGTAAATATTCACTATTTTACCATCGTACCCTACAGTGTGTTTCAAATTTTGGAGACAAAAAACTATTTTTTCCTCTTACTCTGCATCTACTAAAAACTGAAGTTTCAATAAAAATTTCTATCTTAAGGGTGTTACTGAGGAAAAGTATAAGAGAAGATAGTCTTTAAAATTAAGACATATTTTGGAGCTGCTATTATTTGCATGTGTACTTGTAATAGAAATGGAAATAGATACAAAAATAAATTATAAACTGACGCATCATTTTGAAAACAGAACTGGAAAAATTTTCGAAAATCTAAACATACCGGCTCTCAGAAATGAATGCTAAAATTTAAGCTCATAAAAAGCAGCTTTTGTTTAATAATTTAGGATAATATAAATTTCTTAGTTATTACAGTCTCTTACCCGTCACTGAAGCATAAGTCAAAACGCTTAGTTGAATTAATAAACAGAAAAAAGTACAAAGTATGGAAAATAATTAGTGCTAGTACTTAGTATTTAGGTAAGTAGGGAAGACATTCGCGTATGTCACTTAGGTACTTATTTAATTTATAAATAGCTCATTAGACTTATTTTTGTTAGTATAAAATACAGGACAAAAATGTAGGTTTAAAAAAAAATGGTAGACATAAGCTATTAATGAGTGATAAAATAGTGATTAATATGTTAGCTGGCATTTATTTCTTGAACGCTATGTATAGAGCAATAGTAACATTTTAAAGAAAGGCAAAATAAGTTGGTTAAAAGCACAGATCTGGCTAATGTCGGTGTTAACTTTTTTAACTTTGCGGTATGGTAAAATATTAAAAACTATTTGCAAAATGGTACATACATAACACTGTTAATTTAAAATCAGGGAGATAAATAATAACCCATACTATTTAGATTTAGCTAGACCATAGAAGAATGACTTTCAGATGCGGACAACTGCCACCCTTGCCCCACCCTCAAGAGGCGCCTATGGCCACAAATAAATATTTTCAAACAATATACCTAACTTTTATTAATTATTATTTTCATGTTCGTACAGTATGCCTTGAACATTTTTATAAAATTCATAAATCATAACAATAAGAAAACAAAACACTCAAGGCAGTTAATGAACAATTTACCTGGTGCCACTCGCTGAGCGCCACCCTGAACTGACTCCTGGCCACGACGGTCCCCGTCCCCAGATCGTAGGCGAACTCCACGTAGCCGTCGTTCAGATACAATCCCATGAAGTCGTTGGTGCCGTCCATCCGGTGGCCGTTGTAAATGATGAGGCCGTCCGGGGCTGTGGGCTTGAAAGTGATGTCCAAGTCGAGCCAAGTGAGCGCAGTTTCGGCCAAGCCTCGATAGCGTAGGTGGCTGGACCCGTTGAAAGAAGGCACCTATTAAGGGAAACCGGGTTAACTCGGTCGGGGAATTGGGAAGTCAAGATTTTCCGGTTTACTAATCCGGTTTAATGTGCCAAATAATAATTTATAATAACGGAGTAAAATGGCCTTTCACGGAGTAACAAAGAAAAGCTACAAGGATTATTTTAGGGCTAGAATATAGAGACGACTGTAGAAATTGTTTTACTGATTCAGTTATACTCGTAGTTCAATCAACTTACACATTGTACACTCAGAAAAAATGAAAAATTTCAAATTTTTTTTAGTGATTTTTTAAATACTAACTTCGTGAATAATGGTCGTATTGAAAAGATGAAAAAAGTATTTTGAAGCTTGAAGATCTTGAGATAAAAATTTTTATTGAGCATCACTCTCGGCGCAATCAAAAGAAATAATGCAAAGATTAAAATTTTCAAAACTGTCCAAGGGCTCAGATTTTTTTTTTTTTTCTTAATACCAGGATCATTTATCCTCATTCCTCAGCTTAATTTGTTTTTTTTATTTTCTGTATGATTATTTCTCATTGACTGAAAAGTCACCTTTTTTTGATCATGTACATTTTCGATGGGAATTCAGGGTATTTCAGAAACTACTAAAGATATGATAAATCTGACACCACGTTCTCGAGCTCGATTTTCATGGCAAACTCGACTGTCAGATCGGAAATTTGCTATCTTCATTTGTTTCTGAGGGCGTTTCTCGTTATTGTGACACTTTTGAACATGTCTGTATCTCAGCTGTTAAATAAGTTAGAGTTAAAGTGAAAACTGCTCAAAACTAATTCTTTGGCGTAGAATCGAATGCCGGTATTAGATTTTTAGTAGATCTTAAGACTTCGGAATTATGACCCAAAGTTAAATTTTTTAAAAATGGAAATCGTAGCTGACCATGGCCTAAAAAAATAGATTTTTTTCCGCTTTTCAGCAATATATCACATGCTATAGTTATTTTTACAAACACGGGAGATACGGGGTGTTTTATATATAAATTATATATTTTTTCCTTTTTAATATGACCGGCTATGAAAATACAGATAAAACTATAATTCTTACTTTTACAAAAGTCATATCTGTTGTAAAAATATGACATTTATTTTACATGCACGACATATACTCGTGTGATAATATAATACTATCGAAATTTTAGGAGATAGGTGGATAGGAACAAACTGACCGATCAGATGGCCAGCTAGGTTACCTGATTTGAGTTGGACTTTTTCCTTTGAGGTTTTCTAAAAGACATTATATTTAGAATTCCTTTTAATAATATTTCAAATACCTATACATTTAATGAATGCTACCCGAAGCGTTGCCAGAAGATGCGTGAAATGTGTGACAGTTGAGGGACGGCAATTTGAACATTTAGCTATCATTTTTGAAAGTTTTTATTGATGTAGGTACTTACTATTGTTTAATTTACGTTTAATATTGTAACTTCAGTTGAAGTGGAATAAAAATTTGAAAACTGTCTTTTCTTAACTGTTATATATATTTTAAATAAACGTCATATTTTTGCAACAGATATGAGTTTTGTAAAAATAAGAATTATAGTTTTGTATGTATTTTCATAGCCAGCCATATTAAAATGTAAAAAAGGATCGAATTTATATATAAAACACCCCGTATCTTCTGTGTTTGGAAAAATAACTATAGCATGTGGTATATTGCTGAAAAGCAAAAAAAAATCTCAATTTTTTTAGGTTATAACCAGCTACGATTTTCATTTAAAAAATTATAACTTTGGGTCATAACTCGGGAATCTTAAGACCTACTAAAAATCTAATACCGGCATTCAATTCTACGCCAAAGAATTAGTCTTGAGCAGTTTCCACTTTAACTCTAAAAAATTTTTTTATATTCTATTAATTTGAAAATGTGCAAAAAAATGACTTCTGCTGTTTTTCAATTTTTTTGCGTTATCAAATTGAATATTTCAAATGTTGATTTTTTAGAATTTTTTTTATTTCAAAATATTCAGAAAATTATACTGAATCATTTTATGTTCAGTTTTGATGCAATTTTTTTCTTCGAATGCCATATTTCATAGAGAAAAGTAAGTAATTGCATTAATTTAAGTCGATACCCCCAAGTGAATCTTCATGCATTTTTTTACACATATCGCTATACGATTTATTGATCCTTTTTTCGAAAGTTCTCAAACTTAAAAAAAACAGTTATTTCAAACCTGCCAATTTTTTTTATTAAAAAAAATCTTTTATATTAATATTTTTTATGTGAAATTGTGTAAAAATAATGCAAAAAATTTTGGAAAATTTGATTTTTTTTTCGATAGCTGAGTATTTAACGCGAAATTGTGAGAAAAATAACGCAAACATTTTTTGTTTCATCTTAATCATAATTAATTGATGTTTAAGGAGCAATAAACCTGCTCCTTTAATTTTTTATAAAACTTTAACGATTCAGGAAAGGAAAACGGTTCGACCGATCGATTTCAAAATATACAGGCCTCATGGGCATGTATTGAGCTAAAAAAAACTTACAAATATTGGTACTTTTCGCAATATTTGCAAAGTAGTCGTTGATTTTTCAAAAACAACAAAAAAAGTATTTTTTTGCACTTTTTCAAATTAATACATCGACGCTTTATTACGAAAACATGCTATTTCAGATTTTGGTTGGAAAACATGCTATCTCAAATTAAGCTTGGAAAACATGCTGTCTCAGATCTTTAGGTAAAAACATGCTATCTCAGTGTGACTAGAAATTTAAGATGAAGTTTAAGTTAAGGCACATTGAATGAATGCAACCGTTCATTTATAATAAAATTATATAATATATTTTTAAAAAAGTAAGGAATGTTTATGTTCAGGTACACTGTTTATTTTATTTTTTTATTCAACATTTTTCAATTAATTTTGTTAAGTTACTGTTATAAACGACAAAATTGGTAATTGAAAAAATAGGATAATATGCAGTGTGCTGCTACACGTACACTACTCGACGTTTTTTGAAATAACAAATTATAAAAAAAAATGTGTAGGTATACCTTAATATATATATATATAAAAATGTTTGTTATTAAAATCGTACAGAAAATTTAAAAAAAAACAAATTGAAGCTGAGAAATCAGGTTAAATGTCCCTGTTATTGATTGATCCAGAAAAAAAATTCTGAGCCCATCTGCAGTTTTCAAAAAAAAAAAAAAAAAAGTAAAATGTTTGTCTTGCATTATTTCTTTTGATTGCGTCGAGAGTTGTGCTCAAAAAAATTTTTCATCTAAAGATTTCAAAACTAGAATCTTCAAGTTTCAAGACATTTTTTTTTATTTTCTGCATACCACCATTATTCACAAAGTACAGCCTTTCAAAAATCGTTAAAAAAAAATTGGAAATTTTTCTGCTCCCTTAATTTTTTTGTTTAGTTTACTCTCTTTATTATATACCGTACGTCTAAATTGTATAGAAGATCAGTGTCACTTTCATCAGCAGAAAGAAAAATGACCTTGTAAATAAGTTTTCAAGACTTCTGAGAACTAGTAAAGGAATTGATTATAAAGGAATTATTTAAAACAGTAATTAAAAAATATTTGCTGCAGCGTGTTTTTTAATACTTTTAAGTAGGTACTAAAAATTTGTGTGAAAACTTTAAAGATTTTGACGATACGACAACGATTTTTTTATATTTCTATATCATTATCGGTACTATATTTATCAATTTTGTAAATCTGTTTTAATATGTTCTACTTTATTCCTAAATCTTTTAATGTTTAATGCTTTATTAATGTTTATTTTAATTTTACTAGTTTACTTATAATAAGACTGCAAATCCTTATGATTTTAATGTAGATAGTTATCTAATTTAGAATCAAATGAACCATAATATACTTTATACAAATAGTTTTAATTTTCCTGTCATTTGAGAAATATGGTTTTCAATGTTGTAATATCAAAAACTGAAGCAAAATGTCACACTTTTTTCCTACTGTTTCTGCTCCGCATCACGTCGGGCCCAGGGCAGCAACATTTGCAAGCTAATAACACTGTTCGTTAACCGAGATTCAAATCACTTCACATCCACATAGACATGAACAATATTAACTAATGCTGTTTGCTAACAGTATTCAGGATCGAAAATCAAATCACTGTTCGAAATTTCGATGTTTTAGACCGTAAATTTCTCAAGATTATTAAAATTTTACTAACTACTTTTTTTGATTTCTTTATGCAAAAAAATTATATACATTACAAAAGAAAATGCAGTAGTTGGTAATAGAACTAATTAAATTATTTGAAAAACGCGACTGCCTGTAAATATTGGAAAAAATACACAAATGCAATAAAGAAATAAGAGTTTTGGTATGCTACAGCAGTGATCTTGAAGTGAAGAAGAAGCTGAGAAAAAATTAAAATTCTTAATTCTCTAGTATCGTAAAAAAATTGATTTAAAAAATCAAGGCGCAACCTATTTAGATGATTATTACCGAACTTGTCTCTGAATTTTTTGCATAATTTACGAAAACATTTTAAGCAGCCTTTGAAGTGTCGTAGAATATGATTTTTAATGAAAGATACAGAGATACCTATATCAGATTTTAAAAATAATCTTCTGTTGTCAATAATCTTAAAAGTAACAACTAGTTTTTTATCTTTAAAATATTCTTCCAAAAAATGAAATTCTTATTTAACTTTCTATTGAGAATCTGATGACATAGCTTTACCCACCATTCTTAAAAGACTCGTTACTAAGGAATTATTAATTTACACTTCTGTAATTTTTTCTAAATAAAATTTAAAATTTTACTTATAAGATGGCTTGTGGCTTTTAAAATATTTCTCAACTTTATTTTACACTTTTGAAAATTCTAAGTAAAAAAAATAATTAATTAGTGAAACTCTTTCATAAAAAAGTCCCTAATATGTTTACAAGAAAAAGGGCCTTCGAAAATCATATCAGACCACGTAGTGGCAAAATCACCATGTCACTTGATTATGAAGATCCATTAACACATCCTGTATATCAAAATTGTATGACACATTAAAACTTGACAGAGTTTTCCATGAAACATGAACGTTTTGTATGTTATATGTTCTGAAGAAAATAGGAAACAACCATCTACAAATATATTGTTTAACAATTATCATAATTATGAATTTCACAATACTAACGGTCATTGAGTTTATTATCGTTTTATTTTGACTAATAAAAGGCAATAAAATCATATGAAGCTCATTTAAGACAACTGTTAGTAGCATTCATCGCAGATTGGGCAAAATTGTAAGAGATAGTGGAATATGCAATTTCATTTAGAAAGAATCAGATGTGAGTAAGTAGTATCAAAATGCGACCTAGATTTATTACATATAGCTTAAAACTCTAAAATAAAATAAGATAAAATCGTAATATCGAACTTTATTTGTACATAAAAACTCGCAGTTCTGAAACTTGTGTATATTGGCGGAACTGTACACATATAAAACTGTATAAGATAACACTTTTGCTGTTGGTGCTATTTTTCAGTTTTATTATTTCCTTCAAATATTTCCTTTGTTAAGACAAGACGTTAATGTACATACACATATACTCAGCACTTACTAATTATCTAGATAAGGTTTCAATTAAAAAGGAATTAACTAGGTACACAATAATTCAATCAATGTTGGTACGTGGTTTTCGCGGAATATTATTATCTGTCGAGCATCGGAAGAGAATATTGAAAATGAAAGGAATGGAATAAGGAGATTTTTTTGGGTTGATTTTTCGTGAAATCAATTTAAGGATTTTTTTATAAAAATCTTGCAATGTAGCTTAATTTATCAGTCTATAAAACTCCCATTCCTCAAAATTTACTAATTTGTACTTTTTTTTAATGAAATTGGAAATTTCACTATAAAACGGGTTGTAAAAAGATAAAGGCTTTTCATTGGTATGTTAATATTTGAAATAATTTCAAGCTATATAAAATTTTTAAGGGCACAAAAAAAGACATTTCTAAAAATTGTAAATTTCGCAAAGCCTAAATTTTCAAAATTGAAATCATAGTAGTCTCTGAAATATTCTAATAGGTCATCACCGCCATCAAATTCATGTGTTGCCTAATGGAAGAACTGTGTTATTAAAAGATTGCCATATAATATTGTCCCTTATATTCAGTAGATTTAATATATCCAATCTAATGCACTTATCAGGCATGTGGATTTTATTTATAAAACATTCACTCTGCTACACCCACACACAAGTTTGTATAGGTAGTTACCTGTAGATCGACTCGGATTTCACACAAGTCTCCTGAAAACCCCAAGGGGCACAGACAAACCGCTGAATTATCGCTCGTGAGACATTTTCCTCCATGCTGACACGGAACCCGACTACATCTGTCTGCGGTACATTCCTCTGAAAAGGAAAATTATGAAAATACGAAAATCTTTACAACGGAAGGCTTTTAAGGTTTATAGAAGCATTTTACTGTTAAAATATTAAATGCACTTTTATAATAATACTTTTCACAATTATAAAATTAATTTTGGATCTACACAATAAATTGTTGAAATAACACTTCATTATAACATAGATCAATTCATAGCAAGTGTAAAAAAATTAGAGCAAGATAAAGCGCCAATAATGTTGCAAGTTTGTCCTATAATCACACCTCTAATGAACAATTATTTATAATAGTTAAAAGTTAAAGAAGTATGCAGTTATTTTAAGAGTGCCACAGGGGTCTAATTTGGGTCCTTCTATTTTGATAATATTTATCAATGACTTAGTCGATATATTAAATTGTAACAAACTTTTTTACGCAGAAGACATACAAATTTATGAAGGTCTTCATGGAGTTGATGATTGCAAAAATCTAAAATCAAAGCACAAATAAACTTACTTTTAATACAAGGGAAGTACAAAAAAGTTATTTTTATTAAAATAGTGAAACAAGTAATATTTGGTTAGGAAGTCAATTCGGTAGTCTTATAAATACACAAATTCATCAAGGATTTAAGAATTATTTAACAATAATGTAAAATACCATCTTAGGCCTTTTAGGCCAACCAATAGAGATTTTTTGGCGCACTTAAATTTTACTGCAAATTTCATGTATTACTTTTTGAAAAATGCTTTATAATTGAAAACCCAAGTGACTTCTCCAGCAAAGTTGTGAACAATTTTTTTTAAACATTAAAAACTGCAAAGAATGACATTTTGACAATGACATTGACATGAAAAATAATGATGGAATCGTCTTACTCTCAATAGGACTTTTGTAGAGAATATAAAAAATTTTAATTCTGAAAACGGCATCTGAAAGTAGACGACAAAATCTCCAATTTGTATATTTCGGATTTTCGCTTGGGTGATGGGAAATATACTAAAAATGGCTTTGAAAGTCGCCCGAAACGATCGAAAGTACGCTCGTGCCAGAGTCGGGTGGTAGTGGGGGAAATGGCGAGCGGAAGATTTTGGCTCGAACGAACTTTCGATAGTTTCGGGCGACTTTCAAGGGTATTTTTAGCATATTTCCCATCACCCAGACGAAAATCCGAGATATAAAAATTGGAGAATTTGTCGTCTACTTTCAGATGCCATTTTCAGGATTTAAATCGGACTATTTTTGATAAATTGCTACTTTGTGCAAAAAAGACCCTAATTTCTTTATAATCCAATTGTTCCATATTTTTCAATAATTTTATTTATAAGTTCAGTGTCATAATTATATTAAGGAAACTTATTCCTGATACACGTATACAAAGCAAAATGCCACGGAAACACGTTATCGATTTACTGACAAGAATTCACTGGTAAAAACTTGGGTCAAATAACCGCAAGGTACTTTAGTATACGACTATGATTAATGACTATTTGATGTATCAGTTGTGTTGCATATCTTATGGTATTTTTTATACGTCAAATTTAGCTTTGTTCGTTATGATTTGGCCTCATCTTTCGACTAGACTATTATTATACGCTATCCTTATCATACATACATCTATCAATGGTATAGATTTCGTAGCTGTTGTAGAGTGTATGGCATGAGATATACTTTTTGTGCTGCCGCTCTTTTTAGCTCAGGAAGTGCGAAATGTTCCTTGCTACAAAGGTTATATTGAAAATTCTATACTTTCAAGATAAAGCAAACACGGCAATCAAAACTTTTAAATTAGAAAATAAACAAAACCAACTTGGAACTTTCCGAAATGAACCCAATTTAATTAATAACACATTTTATGATTTATAGACTGATCGGACCATCAATATTTAATAATTTTGCTTCACATACCTAACTGTATTTTCATCATAAATATTAATAACAAATTAGTTATATTTTTTATATAAATTTATGACCAATAAATATTCTGTTGTAGTTCTATTATTGTCAAATAATATTGTACGCTCCATATTCCGAAAGTGTATTAATAGGGCTCTCATACTGCTCAGCTGAAACCTTTATGCTTTCCCTGTAAAGTGCCTTAGTGATCTTAGCACTTAAATAAAGCATGTCTATAGATAAACATTTAAATAAACTCCATCGTCGGTTGTCTCACCTATGGCATACTGATAAGAGCTAATAAGTTCGGAACCGGTCTATGTTTGGTGGTGCTGCTGAATGATCTTAGCATGTTTATAAAGATATTGGTGTACTTATAAATGTGTTCTTAAAAATGGCGAATGCGCCGGCAGTAGTGAATAAGTAATTTATTTCTAAGAAAAAAATGTTACTGTTTTGATAACATAACAATACATATTTTGTTCCAATTATATTCAGATGTTAACAACTCAAAATACGACTAAATTAAGGCGATAATAAAATTAATCTTAGAATACTTATTATAAAGTGAACAAAAATTATGTGGATGCCTACTGCTGATACCTTGTTTGTAAAAAAATTTAACAAAATTAGAACCAAATTTTCAAAATTGGTAGGTACAGTACACTAGAACCATTTTAAGATTGCCACTATGTCACGAGTGTGTCCTAATATCAAAAACAGTCGTTGCAGACGTGAATTCATTATTTGTTAAACGCACCAAAAAGAGATACAATGATGGTATAAATGTCTTCATAGTCCCAATTTATTACAGACAATCGTTCCAATATTTTATGTGTATTAGAGTGAAAGAAAATGGGGGACGTTTGTTGGGTATTGGTTTTACTACCGCAGTTAAAATAAAAAGTAGCTGACACACAGATTAAAAATTTGACAGTTGTTTTGATCGCGTCTCCGTACTAACTGTTGTCTATATTTTCTGAACGTTGAAATATCGATTTTTTGGCATATTTTCGTATCCAGTAATATCAGTATTAAAGTTTGCGAGATATCCAGATTTGGGAATTGTCAGGATGACATTTCAGTTATATGAAAACAATGACTAATTTGACTAGGATTTTTCGTCTTAGTTTATACGAATATTGCATGCGACGTAATGGAAAAGATACAGCGATTTTAGTTATAGGTACTTATACAGGGTGTTTTACAAGCTCTATGACAAACCTTGACAGATGGTACACTGAAAGAAATGCGCTTTATTCTTTATTAGAATTATATATATAAGACCAGATAAACAGGTGAATATTGAATATAAAACACAGTATTGCTAACACAGTTGTATAGTGACTATAAACCGCATTCTTTATTAAATTATTGTGTAACTTGTATACAACGTTTTTTATACCCGTTACGAAATGATAGCAATAACTGTTATTAAAGTGTTCCATATCGTTATTAGACCATCTAGTACTGGTTATAAGTCTTACAATAAATAATGTATTAAACTGTTGTATACTATGTATGAGTTAAAAATATATGACATTAAGTTTTCAGAAATTTTATTGTGTAACTGTAATTACAAGCTAAGGTTCTAATGTAAACATATAACAAACATTTAAGTATTAAAAATGATGACAAATCGCTCCCAAAACTGTCTAGTTTATTTTCTTAGCAACGATGCACCCGTATTTTCTTGTATTACATGAGAATTTGCACTATAACTCTTCCACCTTATGAATGAAGCATCCCCTGAAAGGTTGAGCTTATTTTCTTCTAATTCTATTCCTCTGGTTGATTGACTATACCCTTGCTCTTTTTTGTCACCATTAGCCTTCTGTTCCTCCATCTTATGTAAAACTTAACATCAGCGGTTTCTAATAGGGCATATAAGATAATAACTTTTAAGATTTAGACAAAATTTACATTTGAAAAACAAAACAATTACAAGCCATAAAACAGTTAGATACTTATATAATTTTCCATTTCACATAACGTGATATGATCATGTATCACACAAAACATGTGCCTATATTTATATATTTTCATCAAACTAGACGTGTAATAGTCGATACACAGCGGACTGTCGGAAATTTTAGAATCATAACCGATTATGCACCGAGAGGTGACGATCACTTAATCATTATAAAACGCGTTTTACACGTTAAAAACAGAAACATAATCAGTATAAGAACGAATAATTCTGTTAATACAATTGTTATCTACAAATTCGGATACTGGTCTTTATACAGCGAATATTCCCTGCTATACAATTGGAACATAAAGTCTATAATACGTAATAATGTATAAGTAATTCATTATAACCTTTATTTCATAGATGCATAAGGTGTATTAAGCACCTTTCAGTTAAACTCATCAAATAATGAGTATAAAGATGAGTGTTTTTTTTTTAATAAAGGTTGTATATTTGTTATAAAAGCTTTAATAAGCGCTATACACATTATTCTAGATAAACAGTTTAATAAGCCCATTTCTTTCAGTGTAGCTGGGTTAATTTCAAGCATTTTTCTTATATGAACAATATGAACATTGGTCCGATTCATTTTTGTTTAGAAGTTACAAACATTTTAAAAGTATAATTTCATATTTCAATCAAAGTAGCCTGATAAATAACAATGATGGTTGCTATAATAATAATTATAATTTGTGTCATTTTGTTTATTCATTTGACACTTAGCGTTAAAGTGCTAAATAAAAAATTCATTTATTTAGAACTGAAGAGAAGGTATGCAAATATTGTCTTTGTATATGGGTATTCTAATATGGGAACGCCAGAGTCATAGAGCTTGTAGAACACCCTGTATGTATGTATAGTGAAATTTAACATACCTAGACTTTTGAGTGAAATGAATCAATTTCGACGAAACTTTATTTTGTTTCAACCCTTTCATATCCAATGCTCGTATCCAGCCTTCTATGTTTGTTAGGTATACACACCGATGCTTAGAGATGGTTGGTCCCGGCATTTTTTAATGCCAAATCGATAGCACGTTACGTTTCTATTCGAACTCAAATTCGTGTCTGGCGCTGTATTTCAGAACAATAAAATATATGACGTGGTTAACGTGTAACTAAAGCGTATATAAATGAAGTCAATTTAACGCAACTATTTACA